TGGAGAGATAGAAGGATTGTAGATGTCAAGAGGAGTGGTCTATACATCTTCTATTACATCCTCAACAACCTCATCAGGAACACCATCAACCCAAAGGATGGAGCAACCTCAGATATTAATGGCTATGTGAGAAATGTGTTGTCTAGATTTGCTCCAGGTGGGGACAGGTTCAATGTCCCTAGATTCATATGGGCTAAGTTGAGATTTGCAGTGGAGGATGGGAGGATGGGGCTGCCCTATGCCCCTTACCTCATGTTCATGATTGAGAGGGTCACTAGATTTTATTTTTTGAAGGATGGGATGCACACCGTCTACAAAATTAAGAAGACCCAGCTAGCTGCAACTACTCAGGGAGCGGGGAGCTCTCATGCTCATGTAGATATCCTTAAGTCTTCCCGCTCTAGGTCTCACAGAGGAGGCAAGATGAAGAAGTTTGGCAAGTGGTTGAAGGCGATCTTTGGCAAGTGCACCTATGCAGCTGACAGAACATATGAGACATAGCTTGAGCAGCGTTAGCAGCGTGGACAAGACCTTCCACCACTTCCTCCTATTTCACCTCCTCCACAGTATGACCTTCTAAGTCTCTCCGACACAGATTCAGACGATGAGGATGATGATGATGATGAGGAGCAGCAGGGACAAGCAGCAGATTGGGATGAGATCCTAGAGGGATACCGTAAGAGACAGGAGCCGAGGCGTTCCACTTATTCCACTCGCTACACCACCACTACTCACCGTCAGGGCTATGCACGTATTGACTCCGACGACGATGATGGTGATGGTGGTGCCGGGACTACTACTGGAGGTGCTAGGGCTGCAGGAGGTAATGATATTGATTGGACGGACATCTAGGGGGATGACGAGTAGGTGTTGATCTTTCTTCTTTTCTTCTCTTTTTGGTGCTTTATGCCAAAGTGGGAGAAAATTAGAGGGGTCAACAACTTTTTGATGCCATGGTCAGCAGCTGCGCTTTATGTCCTATTCGATGAGTGTTAGTCTTCGCTAGGTGAAAAGTTTGAGAGTCGCTCAAAACTCTAAATTGTGAAATAATGCTACTATTTAACTCTTTGTGTATCAGATATGGATATGTATTGTTTGTGTGGATTAGAAGTCATCTTATTGTGCTAGGTTGCATATCTTTTTTTTGCTAGCTGCGGTTGAGCTAGCTCATATATCATGCTGCTTGACTCATCAGTTTGCTCAAGCACATATGTGCATGAACTGTTGAAAGGTCCTAATATGGCTAGAGGGGGGTGAATACCTATTTAAAAACTACAAATCAACTAGAGCAATTTGATTAGTAAGACAAATGTGTGCATGATCTAGCTCTACAAGGGTATATGCAAGCCACCTATCCAACAATTCTAGTATATTTGCATACGAGCTCTCACAAAGCTACACTATATTTTCTTGACACACTAAAGAGCTTGCTATATCTAGTTTATGGAAATATAAATGAGTAAGTGAGAGATACCCTCACAAAGGCATGAATGTAGGGGTAGCCCCAATTTTCACTTCACTAAAGTGTGAATCTTGGCCTCTTATGCCAAGTTGAGAATTTAATTCTCTATTCACATATTTAGGGGAGGCTCTACACCCATGGCTCGAAAAAAAAATCTCAATTATTCATTTCATATCTTTTGTAAGCTCTAATTGGGTTGTTATCAATCACCAAAAAGGGGGAGATTGTAAGCGCAATCAAGCCCTAATATGAGTTTTGGTGTTGATGACCACCTAATTAGAGAACTAATGATATTTATTAAGATGACAAGCAGGGAATTCATTATAGGAGCCCCAATTACAAATAAGGATGGCATCGCGCTCAAAGAAGTTTTGAATTCTTTTGTCTTTTGAAATTGAGTAAGAGAAAAACCGTACTATAAAGGGAGACACTACAACTGGTTAAAAGTGTGCAACCAAATGCTCAATCTTTATACAAAACATCCTCACGACTCAGCCAAGACAGCCAACTTAACAACTCATTCACCCTTGTCAAATGTGCCAACCATTTTTGTCCGGTTCTTAGACATTTGCGGCAAATGTCAAGACATGGAGAGAGGCACTTTGCCATTTTTTGTGCAATGTGTTAACTGCTGGGAGGCAAAGGGGGGGCACTATTTATACTTTTCCCTGTCCTCCATAAGTCTCTCTCTTCTTCCCCAACGTGATCACACTCACTAAGTGTCTTGATCACTAAAAAAATCAGCAGCCTTGAGCCTGCTCATCTCCTCTCTCCTCCATTGGTGCCCTTCAAGTTCTCAAGCTTTCCCTTTGACTTCCCCACCAATCCTTGAGAGAAAAAGGTGCCAAAAGTGACTAGAGAGCAGCTCTACTGATTCCAAAGCCTAAAGAGCATTTGGTTCACGTTTTGGTCGACGGTTGTGTTTGTTACTCTTAGAGCTTGGCTCCTAGCCGGCTAGAGCGTCGCCCGGTGAGCTTGCCAAATTTGTGGCAGCCCCGGGAGGTTTGTAACCACCTCTTGCAGCGAGTAAAATCACCCCTCATCTCAAGAGTTCACTCTCTTGACTTGAGAACGAGGTAGGGTTGCAAAGCCCTAAGCCTTAGTGGTATACCTCAACAACGTGGACTTAGGCAAGCCTTGGTGACGAGCTGAACCACGAGATAAATTGTTGTGTCATCTTGTGCTTGTGTTGCTACACTTGTGTTCTTGTTGTTATTGAGGTGATTTCTAGGTTTTGAGGCTGATCTACTTGTGTGTGGTGTTCTCACCACTTTCAGCTATCGATCTGTGATCTACTACCCTATAGGAAGCTAAGAAATTTATTTGATCTAAATTTCATTGGGTAGATTTTGAACTATGAACTAATCTCTCCTACAGGTGTGGTAGTGTCGCGCTCACAGAGCGACAGTGCCGCGGGTGAATTTGACTTCGGTTTGAGTTGAATTTTTATAGGCCTATTCACCCCCCTCTAGGCGTAGCAGAGATCCTATAGAGGTAAAATGAATGGTTTTAAAAGTTGAGGGAGGTGGTTTACTCGGTTTTTGAGTTTAGGAAGAAAAACTAAACTTTAAAGATAGTTAGGAGGTAAAATGAACTTTTTCCTTTCGAAAAGCACGCTACTCTGTTAGGCCAGGGTTATATGAGCCGGCAGTGGCACCGAGGCACATATGAGCCGGCAGTGGCCAGGGCGAACTTTTTCAAATGAGGTCTCATTTTTCTTTCGGTTTGAAACATTCTAATCATTCATTCATTCATGCAGAGCAAAAATCATTAAATCGTAGCTAAAAAATTGTGCTACTATAAATACTTAGAAAATTGTACTACAATAAATACTTAGAATATATATGTCTATGAGTAGAACTTTTGAGAGATTCTTTTTCCCATTTTTACTAAACACTTAGTACCTTTCTACTCTCTCGGTTTCAAATTGTAAGTCACTTTTTGTCAAGGCAACTTATAATTTGAAATAGAGGGGGTACTCCCTCCGTCCCAGTATATAAGGCGTAACCACCTCTAATTCAAAGACCAGGAAACATATTTAATTCTCTCACACTAGTATTACTTCATCGATATACGTGTGTCTAGAGAGAGCATGCCTTATATTCTGATACTTGAATAAAAAGTGGTTGCAGCTTATATAATAGAACGGAGGGAGTATTTGCCTCAACGTTGGAGTTATGGTTTGTACCGCCTACACCAAAGAACACGTGATAATGAGTTGTGGACCTTGACGGACATAGTCAGGTGTATTAAATAAATGTATCAATATAGGGCCTGTTCGGTTGGTATTAAAGTCGGCTGAAGCTGTTTTGTTGTGAGAGAAAAATACTGTAGATTCTAGCTGATAAGTTCAAGCTGTTTGTATCAAATGATAGACGAATACTAAAAAATACAAATCATTTTCCCCACTTTTTTCAGAAAAAATCGAGTTTTTTAGATATAAATGGAGTTACAGGAATGTATTTATTAAATTAGTTTTATGTTTTCACTGGTTTCTATCCTATATCCCCGATTATCAAAGACAAGAAAAAAGGCACAAAGACGCATGATAGGGCGAATTAGGGAAGGAGGCGGCAGACGATGCCTGGTCGCTATCGATGTTGGGAACAAGACCAATCGTCCTGTTTGTTTTGGGTTGATTTGGCTTATAGGCCATAACTAAAAGTACTGTTGGCTGGTTTGGTGTGAGAGAAAAATATTATTCATTAGCTGATAAACCATGACTTATAAGTCAGATACGAGCATGTGAACAGGGCTGAATGTATAGTCGCCTTTCGTCCCTCGATCGTGCAAAAGCATCGTCGGTGCTTGCAAGCACCGAGCACTGTGCATCGCTGTCGTTGTTCCTTCCCGTGCGAGGCGCACGAACGTACCCAGCCATGAGAAGGAGCCAGTCGTGCGTTGGTTCCCGGCGGCGTTGGCGCCCAGAGCACTCCCCACCTCGAGTCCTCTCCTAGCGTCGGCCTCCATTTTCCTCGTCCCCCACTCGGAGTCAACTCGATCATGCGCCGCGGTCTTCCCTTGACGTTCAACGGTGCAAGGCGGAGGCGGCACGCCCACGGCCCACTCGCCCAGCCCTGGCCGTGCTCGGTGTCCGACCGTCACGTACCAGTACGACGGCACGCGACTCGGGCAAAGGCGGCAAGGCCCAGCTGGCGACTTGGCGGAGCGAATCCTGCAGTACAGTGCGTGGCTGACGAGCAGGCGCAAAGGCTTTTCTGACCGGCCATTGCCCGCCCGCCACGCACGGCACACAGGACAGAGGCAACAGTGGCAGCGGCACATCCTCCGCTCCATTCCCCGTTCCACCCCCGAAAAGCACAACGAAAAGGTGCTGCCATAAACGGAAAAGACTCGGCACTGCGCACCAGCTAACCTCCCTCTCGCATCTCGCGAGTCGGCAGTCGCTATAGGGATAGGAGCAGCCGAGCAGGCTGTTGTACTGCTGTGCGCATTTGCCAAGGCGCAACAGGCAACACGCAACGCAAAACAGCCCACGCAAGGAGGTCGAAGCCAACCCCACTTCGAGGATCGGTGGATGGAGCCCATGGAGGCAGCGGTGGGCGGGAAGGCGGTGGACGCGTACCGGAAGGCGCTGGCCACGGCGGCCTCGGCGGCGGCGTACGCGGTCATGGCGCGCAGCATGGCGCGGGAGCTGCTCCCCGAGGAGCTCCGCGCCGCGGCGCGCTGGGCCGCGTCGGCGCTCGGGGCCCGGGTCGGCTGGGGCCAAAGGGACCGGCGCACGCTCGTCGTCCGGAGCCAGCCGAGCAGCACCGGCGCCGGCGGCGAGGACAACCTCCTCTTCGAGGCCGCGCGGACGTACCTGGCGTCCAGGCTCGACCCGCGCGCCATGCGCCGCCTGGGCGTCACGCTGGCGCGCGCCAGGGACGACGCCGGCCGCGCCAGCTGGCGGAGGCTCCTCTTCCTGGAGCCCGGGGGCTCCACCTTCGACGACTTCGAGGGCGTCCGCTTCACGTGGACGTGCGTCGAGCCGACGTCCGGCGGCGGCGGGACCAAGAAGAAGGCCAAGAAAGGAGGCGAGCCCAGCGCCGGCGGCGACCGCGACTTCGCGCTGGAGCTCAGCTTCGACGCCCAGCACACGGACGTCGCCATGGACCGCTACGTGCCCTTCGTCATGGACGCCGCCGAGGAGGTGCAGCAGCGGGAGCGCGCGCTCAAGATCTGCATGAACGAGGGCCGGATCTGGTACAGTATGAGCCACCACCACCCGGCCACGTTCGACACGCTCGCCATGGACCCCGCGCTCAAGCGCTCCATCGTCGCCGACCTGGACCTCTTCAAGAGCAGGAGGGACCACTACCGCCGCGTCGGCAAGGCATGGAAGCGCGGGTACCTGCTCTACGGGCCGCCGGGCACAGGCAAGTCCAGCCTCGTGGCCGCCATGGCCAACCACCTCCGCTACAACCTCTTCGACCTCGACCTCTCCCATGTGCAGTTGAACACCTCGCTGCAGTGGCTGCTCCTAGGCATGTCCGACAAGTCCATCCTCGTCATCGAGGACATTGACTGTTGCTGCGATGCCATGTCGAGGACGGACGACAAGGCGCCGCCGGTGCGTACCGGCGGACGTACCACCGGAGACGATGGTGGCCATGATGACATCGACGACGGCCCTACATCGGATTCGGGCACTGCTCCGCCGCCCAACAAATCCAACAGCAATCAGGTAACTAAACTACACCCGTTTCAATCATCCTGATCATCGCAGCGGTCACTGTTGTATTGAATCATCACTGACTCGACGCCAATAATGGTGTCCGCCTTGCGCACGCGCCCTGGAACAACCTCAGGTGACGCTGTCCGGCCTGCTCAACTTCATCGACGGGCTGTGGTCGACCAGCGGCGAGGAGCGCATCATCGTCTTCACCACCAACTACAAGGACCGCCTGGACCCGGCGCTGCTGCGTCCCGGCCGGATGGACATGCACATCTACATGGGCTACTGCGGCTGGGAGGCTTTCAAGACGCTCGCCCACAACTACTTCCTCGTCGACGACCACCCGCTGTTCCCGGAGATACAGGAGCTGCTCTCCCAGGTGGAGGTGACGCCGGCCGCCGTGACGGAGATGCTGCTGCGGAGCAATAATGCCGACGTCGCGCTCCGGGGGCTCATGGAGTTCCTCGAGGAGAAGAACAAGAAGAAGCAGGCAATGCCTACTGAAGGGAAGCAGAGTGAAGAAGAAGCTGGGAAGGAGGCGGCATCAAGGGAACCATCGAAGTAACGTGATCGCATCGAGGGCTTGCTAGGGAACAAGATGAACTGCCTTCTCTTAGTATTTTGTTTGGCAACAAGTGTCATGTTGTCAGATTGTAACGCTACTACTTACTAGCAAGACACTCTGCTGGTCTATGCATAACATCGTAGTGGATGGTAGCAGCTCGTCCTACTGACTCCTAAATCGTACTAATCGTTATGGTTGCACTCTTTAGGCCTTCTTTCATGTCATGATATTTTGCATGGTGAGGAATTGATGCCCCTGTTCCGAATGGTGATTTTGCAAGAATATATACGATCATTGATATATGCTATGCTAAATTGCTAATCCAACAGTGATTAAGCCACAACTCTTACTGCTGCGCTTCCTGCGATACCAAGCCTTACCCCAGGTCTCCGCAAAGTGAGTTGTATCTCGTGGCTGCGCTTCCTGCATGGCTGGCTGCATCCATTGACTGAGTTTGATTGATTACACTAGGTTTACTTAGGCCTCGTTTAGTTGGCGAAATTTATTGGAAAATAGTACTGTAGCACTTTCGTTGTTATTTGACAATTAGTGTCCAATCATAGTCTAATTAGGCTTAAAAGATTCGTCTCGTGAATTTCGTCTAAACTATGTAATTAGTTTTATTTTTTATTTATATTTAATGCTTCATGCATGCGTCAAAGATTCGATGTGACGGGGAATCTTGAAAAATTTTGCAAAATTTTAGGAATTAAACAGGCACTTAACTAAAATAGGTTTGCTGAGGCAGATGCTTTGAACCTCTGAATATCTTTGTACGTAGTATTAGGAGCTGTGTTTGAAGCAGTAATGTTGAATAGCATTTTATAAATGCTTCATCATGAACCTGTTATGTCTGTAATGCTAAACGTTTACTAAAATAGACTGTTGTCTAATGAAATGTTTCATTTCTGCCTTTTCTACTCGCTACCATTTGTCCTTGGCAAGGTCTTGCAACGTTATTATTTAGAAAATGGTGCTAAGTTATGTTGCAGACGACTGGCGAGTGGCGACGGGTGGGTCTTCGGCTGGGTGTGCAACTTGTTGCCCCAGCTTGTCGAGTAATGCCATAAAAATCTTTCAACTTGGGAGAGAGTTATCGAGCATCGCTTGAGAGCAATAACGGTTTCTATGGGTCAACCATGGAAGCCATTTTCTTAATAAGACAAGTTATGGAGATAGGGAAGAAGACCTAGAAGTTTTTATTGACTTGGAGAAGGCTAGGTGAGAATGGATACCATTATGTGGTGGGCTTTGGACAAACATAAAGTCCCAACGGGCGGTACGCGTCATAGACTCATTAAGGACACATGTACAACAATGTTGTGACTAGAGTTCGAACAAGTGATGGAGACACGGATGACTTCCCGATGTCACAAGGGACATACAAGGGGACATCCCTTGGTGTATGCTTTTCATGACGATGTAGTGCTAGTTGATGAAAGCCGGACAGGTGAATCGAGCTTTATGGCGGGAGACTTTGGAGTCCAAAGGTTTTAGACTTAGTAGAACTAAAACTAGTATATGAGATGTGACTTCGGTACTACTACTCGGGAGGAGGAAGATGTTAGTTTGGGGGATACCTTTCGATATTTAGGATCAATGCTACGAGATGTTAGCCATAGAATTTATGTGACAAAAGGGTACCACATAAGCTAAAAGGCAAGTTTATATAGGATGGCGATTAGACCTGCTATGTTGTATGGTGCATGGGACTAGAGATTAAAGACTACTTTTTGTCCCTTTTAACTAAATAGGAGGGACTACTAGAGGAACTTTTAGTCTCTAGTCCACTAGTATCTTGGGAGAGGCTTTTTAAGGACTAATGGACCAACTTTACAGCCCTTATCCCTCCCTCCCTCACCTATGTCCAAATGAAGAAGAAGGATATTTTAGTCTTTGTTTAGCCCTTTAGTCCCTTTTAGTCTCTGAAACCAAACATGTTATTTAGTCCCTCTTTTAGTCTCTAATCTTTAGTCCCTGGAAGGTTCCATGGGACTAGAGACTAAAGACTACTTTTTAGTCTCTTTTAGTCCCTTTTAACCAAATAGGAGGGACTACTAGAGGGACTTTTAGTCTCTAGTCCACTAGTCCCTTGAGAGAGGCTTTTTAGGACTAATGGACCAACTTTACAGCCATTATCCTTCCCTCCCTCTCCTCCCTCACCTATGTCCAAAGGAAGAAGAATGATATTTTAGTCTTTGTTCAGCCCTTTAGTCCCTTTTAGTCCCTGAAACCAAACATGTTATTCAGTCCCCCTTTTAATCTCTAGTCTTTAGTCCCTGGAACCAAAAAGGGCCTTAAACATGTACCACACTTCCATACACCATTACGATTATAACTATATATATGTAATTTGTGACTTACGCTAGGTCTAAACAAATATTTTCATGAATAAATATTATTCACATATTTTGCTACAAGTATCAGAATTTCTTAGTTTTCATATCATAGAGTTTGAAACTTCTTTTTCCTATAATAAGAGGACGTCGCACATATATTTTCTAACGAAACACATTTTATTTACATAATGTATCATATCTTCCAAAAATGAAATGATTTTGTGCCTGTAATAGGATTCTAATATTATCCAAGGAAATACAAGTCGGTTAGTACAATATATTTGTATTAGGACGTCGACTTTGATAACCATAAACGTGTGTGTGCCGTACGTGCACGTCTACTGTCGGCTAGAACCAGAACTTGAGCCGTGCCATTAGAGTGAGGGCCCCTGGCAACATCCAAAGAATGACACAACACGAAATATTTTAGGCCGGGTTAGCATGACACGAACGCGACATACATTTTGGGCCATGCTTGGGCCGACATGGCTTGAAAATAGCATGTAAGCATATATCTACAACACTACAATACAATTTCTAGTATTTATTACACTACATCTCATTTGATTCTTGAATGTATTATGAAACATTGAAACTTTAATGAAAATAATACATACAAAATATATTTTTGTATGATACATGTGGATAAAGAAAACTAGCAATGACATTTTGATGGTTATATGCTTGGGCCGGCCTGACTCGAAAACATGTCAGCATGCCATGGGTCGTGATTGGGCCGAAGAAAAGCCTCTTGACGTATCGACATATGGCCTGATGTGCCTCACGTGTTTAGAGGCCATGATCCGAAGGGGCACGAAGCACGAGAGGGTCATGCCATGCTGGGAAGACTAGGTCTAACACCTCTACTATTGCCAATGAAGGGAAGACAAAATTTAAAGAGATGGCCATGAAGGGAAGTTATATTTTTGAATTTGCAATAAATGGATTGTTATAACTTTGAGTGGCAATCAAGGAAATTTCGAGCAAAATATTTGCTTTCCACCAATGATTCCCAATAGTTGGTTCCCCGAAAAAAATTGAACCCGTCGTCATTTCTGCCTGCTCCGTTCCTGCTTGGTACGACGCCTTGACACCATTTCCTGTGCTTCACCCTCTCCAACCATCTGCTGTGCCCCAAGCCCCAACACGCCGGCCAGCCCCTAGCCACACCCAGCCAGCATACAGCCAAACACCGGTCAGGCCACTGGCGGCCAGCCCCTAGGCTTTTTTTTTAATTTATTTTTTATTTTTATGGAAGCCCCTAGGCCTCTTCGTGTGCCATGATGAAACAACCACGCGGGGAGAGAAAAGACCAGCGCCAACTATAACAGATAGTTGAGGAGTAGATCAGTAGATCTACGACGCGCGGAAGTTTCTGAGTGCTGATCTGGAGTTGTTGGAGGACTGATTTTTTTGTTTTGTTTTAATGTTTTTGTTTTGTCAAGAAAACGTTTGTAGGGATTTGTTTAAGAAACCCTTGAGATGGTCTTAAATAACGCCGACCTGGATGTCCATCCTCTAAACTATTGACGTTAGCCTTCTAAGAGCAAGGCTAATAACACAGCCGGCCATTGGCTGTAAGGTTGTTTGTGGTTTTCTCTCAGCTCACTCATATAATAGTGTAAGGTCTTTGTAGTCCTTTTTTAGCTCACACATATAATAGTTAGCTCTTCACTATTAATACATGTCACATATGTCTCCCTCACAGAGTTTGTTGGTTCTTGTGTCCAAGCCAGCTGTAAGTTTATAGCCCGCTTCTCCTTTCTCTTCTCCACCTCAGCATTCAGCCAGCTTACAGCCTGCTATTATAGTCGCTCTAAATCAGAGTCGAAGTAGTTTTATGTTCGATCTGCTCTTTTTTGTTTACATTATATAACCACTTAAAGTTTGTATACACGGGTGGAACGATGGCGGTTGTTGCACGTCCAAGCTTGACGTGAAACAACTTCAACATATTGAAAACAAATGAAGTCTATTAGTCATGCAAGAAAACAAATCGATCATATAAACTAATCAGAGATATTTATGAGCATTCTCATGCAATTAAAGAGAGATTAAAAAGCCGATATGCAAGAAAAAAGATATATTTCTGAGAGAATAAAAAAATCAATCAACTATGTAAGGAAACTAATCAAGTCCGGTTAGAATATACCTTCTTTCTTTGCATGTTATCTCTCTTTTCTGGTATGAATACCCATAGATATCTCTGATTAGTTTATCATTTTGATTAATTTGTTGCATGGTTAATGGATTTTATCCGCGGTAATCTTAATAACGAGAGCACACAGCAAGAGTTCAGATGTGTTGGTGATTTCAATGTTGATGCCGTGCTCAGTTTCAACGCGTTATAAATGTTTTTAGAGTAAAATGCACGCCAAATCCTTAAACTTTTGGGGCGTTCCCATTTAGATCCTCGAACTAAAAAAAAGCGACCATCTAGGTCCCTAATCTACTGCCGTCACACACCAACCGTCCAAAACCTGCCAAGTCAGCGCCAGCATCTGACGTGGCCATGCCACGGGGGCACTTGATGCTGTGGCCACGCCACAGCGGCAGGTGGTGGGCCTACAGCGGGGTGTCTCGTCCTCCTCCTCCTGGCGTTCGTGTTCCTCGCCACGGCGTCCCTCCACGACGCAACCAGGCCCTGGGCGTCATCCATCTCCGCGGCTCCCGAACCAGCACCACGGCCGCGACGTCGGCCTCACGCTCCCGGCGGCGCTGGCTCTGTCGCCGGACATAATGCCCAGGCCAGGCGGGCCGTCCCTGGCTTCGTCCTCGGGTGCAGCCTCATGTTCGTGCACCAGCTGCCATCAGGCCCCGTGGGCTTCGGCCGCGGCACACCGTCCATGCCCGTGCAGCTCCACCTCCCCAAGTTGTCCTACTCCAGCACCACGTTCACGTACCTCAACCCAACGTTGTTCCCGCCCGTGGCGAACGCGGGGGTGGCGGTGGTGCCGGAGCTGTCGCTCCACTTCAAGGGCGGTGCGGTGATGTAGCTCCCACTCGAGAACTACTTCATCATCGTAGGGTGCGTCTCCGTCTCCGGTGCCAGATCGTCGCGGAGCTGTAGAGCGAGTAGCCACCACCAACGCCGTCGGCCCACGTCCACTCCCAATCGAACAGGTCATCATTGTTGTCGTTCTTTCTCGCCGACGCCACCACGTCTGCCTCGGCCGCGACGGAGACCCCGCCAGCCCAAAGCGTCCTAGCGGACAGCGCGGATCCGAAGGCCAGCGAGCAACGAAGTGAGGTGGCGCAGAGCAGCAACAGAAGCAGCAGTGGCCGCTACAGCCAGTCCTGCCATGGGACCAGCGAGTCTAGCAGAGGCAATGGTGCTCCGTCGATCTTGAACGCTGAGTTTGTCGCAGGCATGGAAGCGGTTGGCAATAGGACGTCGAAGTTCTTGGTCCCGAACAGCTCGCTCATCGTGGAGACGGCCACCGACGTATGGAGCACGTGCACGTGTGGATCACGGCCGTGCTCGGGTACAGGAAGAAGTCGCTCGAGTTGAGCAGCAGGAAGAAGACGCCGACCATGGGCGCCATTAGTGAGACAGCGACGCGATGCCATGGATCCCGTCCTTGAGATGGAGCAGCCACTCCTGCACATGCAAATAAGGAACGAAACAAATACAGTAGTTGGCGGGCCCCAAGTCCTCCTCACCGGCTTCTCCTCCGGCTGGTTCTCCGTGACGTCGTCTATCTCCTTGCTCTCGGCGGCGACCACGTCTCCCTCCTCGGCGGCGAGGGCATTGATGATGTCGTACATGACGACGACGCGACTGTGGTTCATGGAGAGCCCGCGAAGGAGCGCGCCCGCGGCGAGCGCGTCGGCGATGGTCGTCCTATGCCTAGACCGCGACAAATGCGCTGCAGGCCGACCACCTGCCACTGTGGCACGGCCATAGCATCCAGGTGCCACTGTGGCATGGCCACATCAGATGCTGGCGCTAGCGTGGCGGGCTTTAGACCGTTGGTGTGCGAAGGCAGTTGATTAAGGATCCAGATGGTCGCATTTTTAGTTGGAGGACTCAAATAGAAATGCTCCAAAAATTTGAGGACGCAGGGTGCATTTTACTCATGTGTTTTAAAGACCCAGGAAAGATTCCGGCTTATAATTAAAGAAAGAAGAAGTAGAACTTTACAAGCGCTCACAACTTTGCACGCATAGACCACCCGGCAAGGTAAAATAAAAATAAAAAGCTATTACACACTAAGCATTCGAACCAACAAAGAGCTAGGATGATTTGCGTCTTGCGAAGGTCTTGAAAGTCTATAGGTTCCTCTCTCGCCAAATGGCCCAGATACAACCACTGTAGTTGTGGCGACTGGCGAGGCCAACATACCAGTCCAGTAGGCCGGCATTTTGAGGCAAGAGGCTGGAGGTGTTAGCCCAATTGCCCAAAGGCCAATTATAGGTTTGATTTGCTTAGCGAAGTGGCACTTCTAGAACATTTCAGGTGTTTTGGGCGTCACCAGGATTTTTCATATATAGAGGACAGAAATAATCATTTGACCAATGTCATCGCTGCAATCGATTGGATCGTTAGGCTTGATCTGCCTCCGATGTTTAGTTTGGTTTGGTTTGTAAGGTTGCAAACGGACTCCTCGCCCGTGTCATGTCAGTCACTTATAACTTGTAATACATCCGAAAAGAATACAACTATGAGTTACGTGTCACGAAAAGTAATTTATGTTTGACTAAGTTTTTTAATAAATAATATTCATATTTATGTCTTTAAATTAATTTATTATAAAAATATATTTCGTAATTAATCTGATAATATTTATTTGGTATCATAAACATGGATACTTTTTTTTATTTATAATTGATTAAATTTAATGTACTAAAACGTGATACCGTGTTAAAATTTTACTCTTATGGGAAGAAAGGTAGTAACATAGTAGCAGGTACAGCATGTTCCTTAGTCCTTAAGCATGGTGACCACACTCCACTGAACAGTTGACTGAACAGTGAACAGTAAGGGTAATGGAGGCAGGTATTTCAGCCTGTTTGGTGTGGCTTTTTTTTAGCTTATTTTAGTTTATTCTTTCTCACGGAACATTATTGAATCAATCAAAATTAGCTGAAACCAGTCGGTATACAGTAGTTTTGTGTACCCGTCGAAGAGACCGTATGATTTTCCCGGCAAAAGGCAGAAAATAAGCCAAAGAACGGCAAGCCAGCCAAGCCGGACTGCAGGTTTGACTTGACTAGATGGGCAATGGTCATGGCCTGCGGACGATCCTGCTCGACCACCGCGTCAGACGCGCGGCTCAAATGACTGTGAATCCACTCTCCCTGACATTATTTCACCACTCTACGCATCAGTTAGCAGCATGTTCATTTCGGCTGAATTGGTTTATAAGCCATGACTGAAAGTATTATTAGCTAATTTAGTGTGAGAGAAAAATACTGTTCGTTAGCTGATAAACCAAGACTTATAAACCATATACGAGCTGGCTGGTTTAGTGTGAGAGAAAAATACTGTTCATTGGCTGATAAGCCAAGATTTATAAGCCAGATACGAGCTGCCGAACAGGCTGTACATCAGTATTGGTACACAACTGTCATTTGTGCTTTTTATATTAAAAAATATCTCTAAAATATCTCTCTGGGATAGAGTTTTTATTAAAAACTATTAATAGTTTTTGTTAAAAAATATCACCGGACTTGGATAGATCTGCATACCCCGGCTGTTGTGATCCCAACCGTACACGGTTGTGTATCTCCCTCCCACTCCCATACAACACGGCAGCACATAGCACTCTATCTCCAGCAACAACACTTAAAATATAAAATATAAGACACATTTGTCGTTTGGGTAGCGCTACAGACAAGAAGTTCAATATATATTCGGCATTTTCTTCAACGACATGACTCAAAAGAGAATCTTTTTTTGCAAATGGGTTTCCAGGAAAGATGATGTCCATATTTGGGTTGTGCATCTCAGATAACTTAAAATAGATCTTTCATATAGGTACTCTGTTGAAGGCTGATTTTGGATCTCTTACTACTCATTTTAGGTTTGGGTGCCCATATGAGTTCGTTGTTGGAGACCGTTTTAGTAGCTACATGTACGAGCGCACCCAGGCCGTATGCCGCGTGGTGATTTCTGTTCAGAATCTCCTCCCCTGCACAGACAAGACGATGGCATCGTGGCCGCGCGCTGTTCGCCGCCCACATGGCGCTAGTCTCCCTTCTCGAGTTCTCGACTGCTTGCGCTTCCGTCGGAGCGGCGTGGGTGATGGATCCGTCGAAGTCGAAGGCAGCAGCGGCATCGTTGCCGTCCTACGGCAAGGTGCTTGAGACCTACAAGAAGGCGGCGGCCACGGCCGCCACGGTGACCGCGTACGCCGTGCTGGCGCGCGGCATGGCGCGGGAGCTGCTCCCTGACGAGCTGCGCGAGGCCGCGCGCTGGGCCGCTGAGTTCCTGCTGCGCAGCGGCGCCAAGTTGTTCGCGCGCGCCGCAGCGCCGGACCTTCGTCATTAAGCGGTTCGACCAGGAGAGCCGCGGCGGCGACAACGGGCTCTTCGCGGACGCACGCGCCTACCTCGCCACCCGTATCGATCCGCACGCCACGACACGGGTCTACATCGCCCGTCGCAGCGCCGTCGCCCGCGGTGGCGGTGGCGGCGGAGACTGTGACTTCGAATACGGAGACGCCGGCGGCCGCGAAGCCGAAGCCGAAGATGACGGCGGCGGGAGGCACGTCCTGTCCTTGGAAGCCAGCGACAGGATGACGGACGTCTTCGAGGGCGTCAAGTTCACATGGATGTCGTCGGACAGGGACAGACCAATGGCAGCAACGACCCCGTGACGTCGCTGGAGCTCACCTTCGATGCGGAGCACACGGACATGGCGCTCAAATGGTACATCACGTTCATAGCGGCGACCGCGGAGGCGGGAGCGCACCCTCAAGATCTTCTCGAGCGACTTCAGGTCGTGGCGCGGCAGCAGCTACCACCACCCAGCCACGTTCGACACGCTCGCCATGGACCTGGACCTCAAGCGGTCCATCATCGCTGACCTCGACCGCTTCCTCAAGCGCAAGGATTACTACAGGCGCCTTGGCAAGGCGTGGAAGCGCGGGTACCTACTCCACGGCCCACCAGGCAGCGGCAAGACCAGCCTCGTCGCCGCCATGACGTGCTACCTCCGGTTCAACCTCTATGACCTCAATCTTGATAGATTAACAGGATCATCTAGCATATATACTTACATCGGATTAAATAGGAAACCCTAGAACATGTTAGTGCGAGAAACAGAGAGAAAGAGAGAGAGGTTGTGGAGGTGCAAACCACCGGCCGCCTTCGTATAACACCAGCTTGCCATGGGATACTTGTCGGTGGTGCGGTGAGGTTCGACGGTGAAGTCGCGGACGCAGTGACGGCGGTGGCTGGTGGCGGTCTTCCCGTCGCTGGCAACACCCCCTCACTAGATCGGCTTAGGGTTTAGGGACTGTAGGTGGGGCGTCTGGCGGCTCAAGTGATTCTCGTCCGTGTGCCCCGGCCCCCACCTCCCTTTTTATGGCGCTGTGCGATGGGGGCCCACCAACCCATGGAGCGGTTGGACGCTCCCGATCAGGGCGCGGATCCAAGGGCCCAATTAAGAGAGAACCCCATTCTACATGTCAATACCAACAACAATGAAATTTATAGTATATTATATAGTCGATTCGTCGACTTTCTAAATTGTGAGGGTTCAAGTCAAGTCCCTCTATCCCGATAAAAAGCCCATTTTACTTGCTAACTATTATACCAACCTCTATTTTTCATTAATGGTTCAAACAAGATTCACTATCTTTCTTATTCTACTCTTTCACAAACGTCTTGATGGAGATCAATCTAACAGATCTCTCCAAGGTGGACTCCAACTCCTCGCTGCAGCGGCTGCTCACATCCATGTCCAACAAGTGCATCCTTGTCATCGAGGACATCGACTGCTGCTTCAGCGCAACAAGCCGTGGCGACCTAGAGAAGAGCGGCGACGATGAAGACCCATCAGATGCGTCGCATGACCCTCCACCAAACGACGCTACTCCAAGGTAAGAGATCTGATTGTGAATTAGTATAATCAATCATTATTAGCACCAGAATTGCTCTTTGTTTGATCTGTGTAGTATCTTTTCCAGCGTCAGCAGAGAGAGGGCATAACACTGTCCGGGCTGCTCAACTTCATCGACGGGCTGTGGTCGACCAGCGGCGAGGAGAACATCATCGTCTTCACCACCAACTACAAGGACCACCTCGACCCAGCACTGCTCCGGCCGGGGCGGATGGACATGCACGTCTACATGGGCTACTGCGGCTGGGAGGCATTCAAGACGCTGGCTCAGAACTACTTCCTCGTCGACGACCACGTGCTGTTCCCAGAGATACAGGAGCTGCTCTCGGCAGTGGAGGTGACGCCGGCCGAGGTGTCGGAGATGCTGCTACGGAACGAGGACGTCGACGTCGCGCTCCAGGGACTCAAGGAGTTCCTCGAGGAGAAGAAGCAGGGGAAGCAAACATGAGATGCGGGGAAGGCATGAGTAATTGAATCGAAGCAGAGAAGAGATGTGATCGCATCAAAATTAATTTGGGATTTGCTGATTCACCTGCCTATAAAAAAGCAAAGACGATATTTCACAAACTAAATATGATAGTACGATGTTTATCTATCTCTCCGTCTTTGACGGTGTGATCTCAGCGTCAAGAGCTTTCGTTGTGCAGCCGGTGGAATTAACAATATTTGAAAGCATCTACATAAGCTTTTTTAATGCTATTTCGATTTTATTATTGCAAAAAGGAAATTAAAAGGTCCTGCAACATTTTTTTAAACAACTCCCTAAAATTGTTGCTAAATCTCCCCTCAAACTAGTAACTATTTATGCACGTTCTGCACTTTGCACATGGTTTTGGCGTCCGTTTTTCACACTCAAGCGTTTTTTTGTTTCAACACCTCCCCCCTCCACCTCCGCCTGTGTGCCTCGTGCACTCAAGTAATTGAATCGCGATGGCGCATGTGGTCCGCGCTATTGACCCATGTGTACTCAAACACTAGACAACGACGATAGATAACCGTTGAGGTGTTAGAACTAGCCGTTGGAGGTGCATTGTACAGATGCACACACCAGACTATTCGCCCAAGGTTCGCAAATTATCCGAACAACTTATTTTCTAGGTGATAATTGGAGCACTTTTTCAAAGGATTGACAATGGCTCTCTCTGAGGTGTTGGGTTATAAAGAACCCCCCTGTGGGGTTCTTTTGGTGTTGTTTGGCCTTTGCGAAGCCTGAGGAGAATACATGAGCTTAGATGAGAGAAAAGAGATGGTCAAGTGACAAATGTAGTGCTTATTAGGGTCATATGTTTCCATGAGAGACACATATGAGTGATACCAATGTATATGAATGTTAGGAAGCCTTGAGAGCTCTAGTTATTGTGAGCTGGAGCACTTCTCTTTGTGACCTTCCGATGAAGGCGACGTGGCCTTTCAAGTGGCGACCCTCCATTTGTGGTGTGGAGCAACAATTTATCTGTGTATGTAGGATGAGGAGACCCTTTTTCCTAGGTGGAGACGTAGTGTAAACAACGCCATGGTTACCGCGATCTACACAAACGTCTAATCCGCACCACTCAAAATACGAGACCTAAAAAACATTAGTGAGAAAGTAAATCTTACATTCAGGGGGCAAACCTAGGGCTCGGCTACTCTGGGCCCTTACTAAGGCCTAGGTCTTGGCCCAACGAAGCCCATTAAGGCCTAGTCCTTGGGTGATGAATCAAAATGACGTTGTAAAGCTATTTGGATGTTAGCCTGGATTCTAATTCTTGAAAGAGCATTTTTATGTAAAAAAAATCATATAAATGGAATATGCTTCCGAAAAAATCCTAACTTTTTGTGGGTGAAGAACACCTTCAATCCAAACCATTTGTAATTTGTTGCACTAAGAAAAGATTATTATGACTGAAAAAAACTATGATTATCAGTACCCAATACCGAAACTAGAATCCATGTGAACCCTGAAACGTTTCGCTGTTGCTGTGTTTGGCAGGGTTTCTGCCGTTTTTTTTTGGTAGAATCAAAACCGATTCGTCTTCCGAACGGCACCTTAATTCAACAACCTTGCATCTTTTCCCCATTCAAGCTACCAACATCTAGAACACCTAATTAATTTCTTTAACACTAGTTACACTAACAGTACAAGCAAGTGAGCTCAAGTTATGCAGAATGAATAGGCCAAAGCAGTTCTTAAACCATTGGAGAGGTTCACACATTCACCCACAACGGAACGACCACAACAGCAGCTAACAGTTGGCCATCGAAGATAGAGATTACTAGGACAGCTAACAAAATACTAACCAGAAAGCATCAATATTGGCTCTTGATGCAGATGCACTACTTGGATGTGCGACTCCCCTGCTTCTTCTTGTCCTGGAGGAGCTCCACGAACTCCTGCAGCGCGACGTTGGGGTCCTCGCTGCGCAGCAGCATCTCCGACACCTCGGCCGGCGTCACCTCCACCTCCGAGAGCAGCTCCTGGATCTCCGGAACCGCGCGTGGTCGTCGACGAGGAATTAGTTCCGGGTCAGCGTCTTGAAGGCCTCCCAGCCGCAGTAGCCCATGATGTGCATGTCCATCCGGCTCGGCCGCAGCAGCGCCGGGTCAAGGCGGTCCTTGTAGTTGGTGGTGAACACGATGATGCGCTCCTCGCCGCTGGTCGACCACAGCCCAAACAGCTGTAGCGAGGGAGTTGATATAACGGTTGTGTGAAGTGAAATTGAAAGGTGATGTAATGAAGCTACTTTAGTACTTCAATTTAAGTTAGGTATTTACTGAATGCATTATGTGTGGGCCAAGATTTGTTAACCCTAGTGTATGTTGTAATGTTTTGTTGTATGGATTGGACAAATGGAGTGTCATTTGTTGGTTGTATGTAATGGACTGTCATTTGGTAGCTATGAACTAGAAGCAGATCCTGTTGAATAAATGCATGTATCATCTCCACAAGGTAAATAACTGAATGGGCCAAGATTATTTCATCCTTTTCTAGTTTCTTAATTTATTCTTGTGTTATTTTATTAAGGATATACTGCAAACAATAATCATATATAGTTCAGAGTAGTAATTTACATTGTAAGTGATAATAAAAGATATTGTTATGTGCTCATATGTGGTGTTCTTGATTTTGCAGCCACTTTCAGAAACTGTTGCACTTGTGAAGGACATTGCTGCTGAATATGTCACTGACCTGGTAAGTTTATTTTGTGTAGTTGTGTGTGAGAGTGGGAGAAAAATGACCCAGGGATCATTCGTACATGTAGCATGTAGTTGTACATACATGTTTGCAATTTTTGTGCGAGATGTAGCAGCCCTCTTGAATGCTGCTTGTTTGCTTTAACTATGACAAAGTTGCGACATGCTTTTTGCACAAAGCGAGGCATATTGTATCTGTTTAGATGCATCATACTGGGACAAGCATATCATGTCGTGCTCCCATTTTGGCAACTGGTGTTTGTAGATTGTCCTTACTTTAATTTGAGCACCTTCATTTGTACATCCATCACCTTATGTTCCAATATTGGTTTACCATGTTTGTCAAATAACTAATTCGAATCAATGTGGTTCAAGCAAACTATTTTCTGTTTAGAACCTAATTTCCTTAAACTTCAGTTTTCTTTGTAAACAACAACAACAACAACAACAACACTCCTTTGCAATTTGCATAGCATTTGAAGTAATGTTGGTTAAACCTGGGCATACCTAATCATTATTGCTCTGCCTAGTAGGACTGTAGTTGCATAGGTATAAAGTGGCCCCTTAAACTGTATTACTACTAGTAGTATTTCGAAAAACAAATTCTAAGCGAGAAAATTACCTCCCCTGCAAGCTGAATGTTGTTTCCATTTTGTTTCAATTGCTCGTGAAACTCTTTTATCTTTGTTGTTATATCTTGACATTTCTTCCTTTGTGGTTGGTACTATACCTATGGATCATTTGAGGTTTTCTCATTTTCCACTGTTCAATTGTAGTCCCAGATGTGACAAAGTCAACATGGCAATCACTTGTGATTGAGAGCGAGCTTCCTGTCCTTGTTGAGTTCTGGGCTTCATGGTGCGGGCCATGCAAAATGATAGATCCAATTGTTGGCAAGCTCTCGAAGGACTACGAGGGGAAGCTGAGATGCTACAAGCTCAACATAGATGAGAACCCGGACATAGCAAGCTAGTACGGGGTTCGGAACCCGGACATAGGAAAGCATGTCCCAGTATGTTGATGCTAAATATTTGGAGAAGTTGTTTTGGGTAGATGGGTGTCAAATATTTAGTGGACTGTTCGTTGACTGTAGGAGGCTGTAATTTGTTGTCCGGATTGCATATGTGATGTAAACAATCAGATTTGCCTTGTGGTTTGACGTCTTTTTTATGTTTAAATTTGAAATGGATATTCAGTCAATTTGAATTGGCTAGGGACTGGCTGGCTGCTGGATGCAGTTGCTTGGCTCGCTGGTTCAGAACCAGCTCCAGCCAGCCAATTGATGCCTGCCGAAGAGGCTGGATGATGATGCGCTCCTCGCCGCTGGTCGACCACAGCCCGTCGATGAAGTTGAGCAGGCCGGACAGGGTTATGCCCTGCCGCGGCGAAGGTCCCTGGATGGCATTCGTTCCGGGCAAAGAAATGTTGTCAGAAAATTGTGTTTGCTCTGCAAAAGAATCAAAGGGAAATGAAATATCTTATACCGTGTGGTAGCGAGCTCTTGGTGGAGCTGGAGGCTCATCTGTGGAAGAACAATCTTCGTACTCGCTATCGCCATCGTCGTCCTTGGTGCGCTGCTCCTTGCGCTGGTTGGTGCCTTCCCTCGACTTGGTGCTGAAGCAGCAGTCAATGTCCTCGATGACAAGGATGGACTTGTTGGGCATGGCCGTGAGCAGCTTCTGCAGCGAGGTGTTGGAGTCCACGTGGGAGGGGTCGAGGTCGTAGAGGTTGAAGCGGAGGTAGTTGGCCATGGCGGCGACCAGGCTCGACTTGCCGGTGCCCGGCGGGCCGTACAGTAGGTACCCGCGCTTCCACGCCTTGCCAATACGCCGGTAGTAGTTCCTCCTCCTCAGGAAGCGGTCCAGGTCGGCGATGACGGACTGCTTCAGCGCCGGGTCCATGGCGACCGTGTCGAACGTAGCCGGGTGCTGGTGCCTGATGCCTTCCCAGGACCACTGCTTGTTCATGAAGATCTGGAGCGCGCGCTCCCGATGCCGCGTCCCGTCCACCGCCATCATGATGAAGGGCACATACCTGCGCAGCGCCACCTCCGTCTGCTCCGCGTCGAAGGTGAGCGTCAGCGAGTCCGGCGGCCAAGGGCTGTGGGCGGGCCCGTCCATGCTGTCCCTGTCAGCGGCCCGGGAGGAGGAGGTCAAGGTCCAGGTGAACTCGACGCCCTCGAAGACGTCGGTCATCTTGTCGCCGGGCACCATGGAGAGCATCTGCCTGGCGCCGCCGAAGGTGAGGCAGAGCCGGCTCAGAACGTTCGGGTCGATGCGCGTGGCGAGGTACGCGCGCGCGTCCCAGAAGAAGCGGTTCTCCACGTGGCTCCCGTCGCCGTACCGGCTGATGAGGATGGTCTTGATGCGGCGCGGCTTCGGGGGCGGCAGGAGGCGGTCGCGGGCGGTGGACACGGCCCAGCGCGCCGCGGCGCGGAGCTCGTAGGGGAGGAGGTCGCGCGCCAGAACGGTGTACGCGGACACCGTGGCCGCCGCGGTCACCGCCTTCTTGTATGCGTCCACCGCCTTCGCGTACGACGGCGACGACATGACCGTCGAGAGATCCCTCCCTTCTTCCCCGCACCGACGAGGTGCTGTGCCTGCTCGGGACCCGGGAGCTCAGCCCACAACCACGCGGGACGGGAGCTGACCTTCAGCTTGGTGCGCTCGACGCTCGCCGTGACAAAAATGGGAAATGCACCTGCAGCCCTGCCCCAAGGTGGCTCAGGTATATAGGCGTCCGTATCTTAGTTTTTTTTTTCTGCATGTGTCTTTTTTTTATCATTATTCTGCATGTCTTGCAGCCTGTTCGCTTTGCTCGTAAATAGATCGTAATTTTTTAGCCGAACAGTGTTTCTATCTCACACCAAACCAGCCATCAGTAAATAATCCACGATACGATACGGCCTTTCGAACAGGCCGTTGAATGTTGATCGTAGTTGCCTTTGCCCATGGCTACTTGTACTTGCCCTTTTTATTATAGTAGGGTAATGCCCATGCGTGGGTAAATGATTAGGTATAAACGAGCTATTCGGTTGATGATTTCTGCGGCTGATAAGTTGACTGAAGCGGATTTGCTGTGAGAGAAAAACACTGTTTCATAGCGGATAAGCCAGACTGATAAGTTCAAGCGAAAAAAATCAGGAAAACAAGGGATTTTCTATGGGACATCAGCAAAGTAGAGCACAAAAATATGCGATCGTAGTTTTTTGCACTTCTACTGTAGCTAGTTAGGACTAAGAGCAAGTTATGTTTTGCGTGTCGACCTCGATGATGCCCAGGTGCCTTTTTATAGGCAGTCAACTGGCAACTTGTTCCTCCGTTCGTTCTAATGCATGCATATCTTGGTCATTGCCTCATTGGCCAAAGCTGTTAGTTAAGGAGTCAAGCTCCAGAAGCTCCTTGCGGCTTTGATTTGGCAGCGGCTTCCTTCCCGTCCACGTCTTCACGGACGAGGCTACCAGCCTTAATGGCAAGAACAGGTTCTCACGGCGCTATGGCTCATTGTTGTTAGAGTTGAAAATCTTCTTGGCACGAGTAATGAACGGTAGACGGCTCGGTGCGCTCTAGGTGAAGCGCTGCGCCTGTGCGCCCCCCACACGAAGACTTTATTTGCACGCACGAAGATCGAGAACTTCGTATCAAAAATGATGAGATATTGGACGTGGAAGGGGTTCATATCGAACAAGAACGTGGACGTGTAAGCATAGATAGGGATTTGATATTGCTAGGTAGATGATGACTTTACGGTCTTTTTAGGTGTGAAGATCTATATCTGATGTTAATCTTTCAAAAAAAATATCTATATAGGGTACTTTTAGGCAAATATATTTGTGTGTTAAAAAAACATATAACTTGGCGTGGAGTCAACTGAACAATGTCATCTATTCTAAGACGTCTTGAAATCGAACTATGTATCATTGTTAGATGCTTTATTGATCAAAACGTGGTCTCACTTTAGATCTAGATTACGCTGGTTTGGATTGGAAACGAGTCATGTGTTGGATTTGTGGATTGAAAATGTGATGACAATAGTTAGGTGCGATCGAGGGAGAGTGATGTGCAGTGTGATTGGTTGACGACAAAAAAATGGTGGAGAGAAATTTTGTCCATTTATATAATATTAGATATACATTAGTATTATGGGACGTTTGCCAATGTTTGTTGGAGTAGTTTCTCCGTAAGAATCACTCCCTCAGCCAAACAATTAAAATTCGCAAGTATGGTTAGCAAGTGAGTGAGGCAGTGAATCAGCTAAAGTATGGTTAGCAAGTTTTCTGATTCCTCCACAAGTACAGGTACACTTGCCATTCCTTTGAAAAGTTTTGTATTGTTTTTGTTTCAAACAGTAAGGGAGAAGATGATTCCTTCAATTCAGAATGGGTTTAGCTGCGTTCCAAACCGGTCCTAAAAAGACGAGAAAAAAATCAGGCACCGCTCCAACCTCAGCGTGCCGCCCCGCGCGCGCTTCAGCAGCGTGCAGTCTCCTCTGATATGATCATACGGAGTAGGAGTATTTTGACTATGAGCAGTGCGAACGACTGCTGAAGCATCTTCTTCCTCCAGAGACCTCTTCTCTCTCCCTCTCTCCTTGTGCAGCCAACGGATACGGATCGTTTGGTTCCAAACACACGCCATCAGTTCCTGCTTCCTGGGTGGGTGGCTGGGTGCGGCGCTGGTGCAGCCCTAGCCGTAGAGGCTCAGACGGTCAGACCTCAGGCCGTCGAGCCGCGCTGCTTTGCTTGTGGCCTCGTCACTTCGTCAGTGGCAGCCTGGCTGGGTAAAGCGTCGTCCCGAGCAGCGCGTTCGATTCCTTTCCCGGACTGTAGCTCCTCTTCCTCATCCTCCCCCCCCCCCCGGTACCTGGCCGTCTGGCACGGATGCTCTCCGGTGCGGAACGGAACGGGGACAAGCGGACAAGGCACTGCGGTGAGCGGTGCATGGCGCACTGTGGTCCGCCCGGGCCTGCTCCGTGCGTTCCTAAATGTCGTCGTTCGTGAACGTGCCATAAGTTTAACTTAATTTATATAAAATACGTGTAATATTTATATCTCTAAATAAATTTATTAAAAAAATTAGATTCAAATATCTTTTCAATAATAATAATTATATACTATAAATATTAATATTTTTAATATATATATTTACTCAAAGTTGTTTCGCCGCTAGACTGCCGGAGGCCGGAGCCATGCCATCCAATCAACCGGCCTAGCCATAGCCAGTAGCCAGGACGAGGGTTGCGCTAGTAGGAGCGCCCACGGCAACATGGTGGGGGATCTCGCGCATGCGGCATGTATGGGTCTGTTTGGCTGTCTTCCTAAAGCTAACCTGACTTACATTTTAAGTCAGGGCAGCCTAAGACAGACTTCAGCAATGCAACCTTAGCTTGCTTGGTTGGTCTTGACTATGATGATAGAATCACCTTGCATAAGAATGGAGGTGGACTTACCCCCATCCACCACCAACAGCACCATGTCCGACAGCGGGGATAGAGCAACCAATCCACACAATCCACTGTTAACCCTCGCCGCGGTGAGCAACCAATCCACACAATCCCCAGCGCGGCCACGCCAGTCGCCTTCGTCGCCTCCGATGGCCGCCCAGCGCGGGCCTCATGTCATCAAGCTTCACGATTCCAACCCGCACCTCCTCGCCTGGGCGCCGGGGACCGCGCCGGCCGCCATCCCTGCGCCCTCGAGCGACGAGGGCCTCCTCATGCAGCACCCGCGCGCCGCCCCCCTCGACCGCCTCCGCTGCGCACCCCACCTTAGCCCTCCTAGTTGACAACCAGCGTTTCGTCGCCACGCACGTCGCTCTCCAGCAGTAGCTCATCGCGTCGCAGCACGAGCTCCGGGTTGTCTCCGTCACCGCCACCAGGGCGCACGCCGAGCAGGAGGGTGAGATGCGCGCCTTCGCCGACCAGGCGGCGCACATCAAAGCCAAGGCGCGGGCCGTAGCCGTCTCATGCGCGGAGGTCGACCAGGTCCACGCCGACGTCCAAGTGCCCGCCAGGGCGTGCATCGACCTCGTCAACCGGCTCCAGGGCCTACGGGAGAAGCTTGCACAAAAGTGCGACGGAGGCGGGGCCGGCCGGATTTGGCGAAGGCGTGGGCCCAGCCGGGTTCGACGGAGGCGCGGGGAGACGTGAGCAGGGGCAGGGGCAGCGGCGCAGCACGAGAGCGAGGAGGGAGGTGAGCGGAGGAAGGGAGTCGCCGGCGTAGGGGCAGGGACGATGGCGTAGCACGAGAGCGAGGAGGGACATGAGCGGAGGATGGGAGTGTCACCGACGCGGAGGATGGGAGTGTCACCGGCGCAGGGGCAGCGGCGAGCTCGAGACCGAGGGACGTGAGCGGAGGACCGGATGCGTTAGCCAAGGTGGCTAGTGGGAAACGACCGAGCGATTTGTTTCCAGGAAGCCTGGCTAAGAGGTCCTTGTTAGTCTAGCTAAGCCTAGCTAAGTGGCCAAACCAGACAACCAAATATATTACTGTTGGCCTACTGAAACCTGGCTAGAGGTTAGCCAGGTAACCAAAACAGCCTATGTCTGCCTGCTACTGCTAGCAAGAGAGGTGCCGATTGGTAGCAGATAGGCATACAGTGCAATGTGTATGCTAGTTTTTTTCAGTCAATTTCATTCGTTTTTCGTGTATTCTTTGCTGTGCTGAAAAATAGAGAAATTGGCGGCTTCGTTGATACTACTACATGGGAGCAACGTGGACAGCAGTGAGAGGTCGATTTGGATGTGCCGTGTTTTTGGTATCCCACGTGAAGGAACATGTCAGAGAACAAGATTTTTTTTTTGTAAATGCAAGGAAACAAAAAGAGATAAAACATTCCGTATAAAAGATGATAATTTGTTGGTATTATTGTGGCTAAAATATTTTTTACTGAAAAAACTACGGAGTGAGAGGTTCCCGTCTGGATAATATTGCTTTTAAAGACACAGTTTATTACAAGTCGAAGTTCAGACGACAGCATTGCGTCCTATGTTGTTTTGAGGTGGGGTTCAAAGTGGTTTCATCTTTTCTAGTTATAAAAATTTTGATGAATAATTGATAAGGTTTTTAAACAATGAAAATTGTCTCTAGGTTTCTAAAAATCTTGAAAAAGAATCCTCGAGATAGATTGAGACACGACAAATCCAAATGACATATTATGAACTCATGAAAGTTTTGTTGGAGGCTTCAAAAGAATTAGATTTAGCTCTAGGGACATGAGAAAAATATCCAAAAATAGGAAACATTACAAAACCTTATGATCCATCCATAAATGTGTTATTAAAATTTTACTCAACAAACATTCAAGATAAAACCATCATGAATATAACATTCATGAATGATGAATGCATTTATGGTGGTTTTCATCTTATGTTTTATTGTGGAAAGTTTCTAAAATGTGTTTATGCACCGATTAGTTTTTTTTTGAATTTTTCATTTTTTATACCTTTCCTATTTTCCTTATAGCAAAATCTATTTTTGGGAACCCCTAGAGATATTTCCATGATCTCTAAATATTTCATTTGTAATTTTCATGTATCAATGAATTATCTAGGATTATTCTAGGATATTTATTTTTTGAAAAACTTTCATGGATTCAAAACCTTATCAGGTATTCGTCTAATTCTTTTAACTAAAAAAGTGTTGAAACTACCTTGAAAACCAGTGTGAGGTAATTTAAACGGTTTTAAGAGTCGAGAGGTTCAAATGTTAGTTTTGAAGTTTGAGAAGAAAAGCAAACCACGGCGATATTTTAAGGAGGTAAAAAGAAAACTTTTTCCACGACATTTTAGTTTGACAACAATTGCACCGGCGCCAGTGAAGTAACAGGACGTCTAGCCCAGTAGGCCACGCAAGGGATGCGTTGCTTGGGCTCACCCAGCTAGGCTCTCCCCCTCCAAACTAAAAAAAGGGGGGGAATTTCTTGTGTGCCATTAAAAAGATCGCAATGTTCTGTGTGTCTCTGGAAAAGTTCAGTGGTCTTCAGCGCCACTGCTCCAACTTTTTTGTGCCCTCCATGCCACTGCCGTCAGTTTGGGCTCTAACGCCGTCAACTGCAGGTGTGAAAAGTCAAAAATACCCTTAAGTCTAAATATGTCATTAATTTTTTTAGCATCTTAACGACTTCAAATGAAAAAACTCAAAACTAGAAAGTTGTAGATCTCATCGAGATCTATAATTTTCATATAAAAATTATCTTCATTTAATTCCAAAAAAAAGATATGATTTTTCTAAGATATATTAATCATATCAAATCATATTTTTTATTTCTCTCAAGGGATTGAAGACTTTCCACCACTTGTGTGGGCCCCATCAATTCATTTGAGTTTCATTCTTGCGAATTACTCCCCAGGCGGGATACTTAACTAGTTAGCTACAGCACTGCACGGGTCGAGTCGCACAACACCTAGTATCCATCGTTTATGGCTGGATTACTGGGTCTCTAATCCCATTTGCTCCCCTAGCTTTCGTCTCTCGTTCAGAAGTAAGGAAGGGGCAAAAAAAAAAAAGCTCATTTCTTTCATTCAGGAATGGACACCGGACCGGAATGAAATGTGGGAATGCCCCCTCTGTGTGGAATTCCCTTTCTTCGTTTTTTTTAGACTCAGGAAAAACTGCTCTTTCTCAAGCTCTACTCAGACCTTCTTCTCCGTCAAACCGTGGATTTAGATTCCAGTAGCCTATGAACGAATTCCTTCAGATGTGTATGAGAAGGAAAGCGTCTCACATGACTCTTAGATAGAAACCAGCATAGTCTATGAATTAGCATCCACAAAAAAACCCGGGTCTCTACAGTATGGATTTGTGCTTGATCACCGGTACAAAGCAACACTCGACATGCCACTGTCAATCATTGTTTAAGTGAAACTATCTTAAATTTGATGAAAATTTTTATGCATAGTTTAAAATATTTATGGTGTCTTCTTTCTTTATGATTAAAATATTTATGTCGATATGCTTAAATTTAAAATAACTTTGACTACACAATTGCAAAAACACATAGTAATAGTAAAAACATAGGAATTTTGAAATAACTTTGACTACAAAATTGCAAAAAAAACATTGCAATAGTAAAAACATAGGAAATGCAATCGCAAAACAGAGGATAGAAAACACTAGAAAACTATTTAGTCTAGTGCTTCGATGAGTATAGAAAACTCATAGGAATAGAAACCTTGGTGTATAATCTTCCATGGGCCGATGTGATGCTTGTCCTCTAGCTTCTCTTTTTTTTTTTTGTGCTAACTGTGATTTGGCTCGCTGCCTGCTCGGCTGTGCTGCGCTTATGTGCCGCTCTTCCACTCACGATTTACTCTAGAAGAGCCCAAAAAAGCTGCAGCTATAACTACACTTGTTTCTAGCGAGCCGAGTGAATGTTTTTTGTTTCTGTATTTTTCCTATCAAATTGGTTGCTGTAGGAATGTTTCCTTCAAATTTACTATGTTTCAACACTACAAGCCTATTATAAAAAAAAACACTACGAACCTGTTATAAAAAAACAGCACTATGAGCCAAAAGAATGCTGGCCTTGTTATTAAAAAAAAACACTATGAATCCTTTTCCCATGAAATTCCTTGCGGCCTTTCCTTTTTTTTTACTACGCATACTTACTTCTACAGTTCTACTCCGTACTGTTTAAGACCGCAACTAGCAAACATGCTATATATAGGCCCTGCAGGAAGAACATAGTTCCCCTGCCAAGTGCCAACCAACCAGCCACTCGGTCTCTTGTCTCACTCTCACTCGCTCTCTCTGCCCTGTTTGCCTTTTTTTTTAGATAAATGATAAAATATCTGGCTTCATCTATCAAGGATAGAATCAGACCAATTATTACAGACTCCAAACCTGGGCACAAAGTTCGGCTGAAGTAAAACTTACAACCACACACACGACTAACGGAACAGGTAAAAAGTTTTTGATTAAACAAAACCAACATGCCTTTGTGAAAGCCAAACATTGGATCCAAAGAAATCTAAAGCCGACGTCTCTAGGTGTTGTGCCACAGAGATCATTTGATCTTTAAGATCTTCATACCGCTGTAAGTTTGCCCAATGACGAAGCCAGTGCGTTCCTCGGAATAGTACCTTTATCAAGCGCAGACTCCAGGTTCTTCTTCGCTTTAAGCTTAGCTGCCTTCTTTGTGGAATCTTGATCCATAGTTGAGGCATTCCTCTTGCTGGATCTCACAGGTGAAGCTGTCCCACTGTTGAATTTATTGTTTAGATTCCCAGAGTCGATCTGAGGTGGCAACATAGTAGCTTTCCAAGCATCCCCTCCAGACTGAGAAAGTAAAGCTCTTGGTTTCTTACTTGGCTTCACAGGCTTGCTCTGGGTGATGGTAGGCTCCCCTATTTCCTCCAGCTGTGCCGCCCCATTGGAGCCACTGTGCTGGCCAACCATAGGTGGCAGGTCACCATTGCCATTGCCATTGCCGGGTGCCTCAGCATCTCCTATTTTTTCATCCACATCCATTTTTTCCTTAGAGTTTCCCCTTTGGGATTTTCCTCTTTTGGATCTCCTTCCTTGGGATTCTCCTCCTTAGGGTCACCCTCTTTGGTAGAGTCCATGTCAATGAGCTGTGGCTCACCATTGAGGGTGTCGTCTTCAACTGCAAATTGTAGCTCGTAAACATAGTCCCCAATAACCACATCCACAAAATCTGGGATAAGATTTGGGTCTAGCACTGCTACTTTCATCCTTGCACTGCTAGTGTTCTTAGTAAAGATAGTGTCAATAGCCTGAGGGACACCCAAGATAGTTCAAACCCCATATATAATGGGAAACTTTTTGAACTCTTGAGGTAGTCCTCTGAATCGCACCCCATACTTTCTCAATTTCACGTTTATAAACCTCATTGTCAGTTCCTTTTTCAAAGCGAATCCTTCCTTCAACTGCCTTAGCATCCATAGGGCCCCAGTTAACCACTTGTTTCCAATAGGTCACCAAGGAAAATTAATAATAAAAGCATCGATGCCTTTTGTCTCAATTTCCCATTTATGTTTCTTGTCGGTAGTAGCTTTTCCGGTTCCACATCAAATTGATCGACAAAAAAGAACCTTTCAAAACACGTACCACGCCTTTCTTTTTTTCGAACATTTACTTTTGCATTTTCAACCACTTGAATAAAATAGAAACCTAGGCCTTCCACAAAGATAACCACAAGGAATAGCACTTGTATTTGTTTTTTTACTATTCGGGCACAATTTAGTCGTATGATCTCCATAACAAATCTCACAGCAAAGGACAATAGTGCACTCATGAATTGTATGACCTTTAGTACGACAGCGATAGCAATATGGCTTGCCTTTATTTTTTTGTGCCCCTTTCTTAGACGACTCTTGGATTTCTAACATATTACCTTTCGGCTCTGAAGCCGATGGGACAACCTCCTTGGGTTGCTCTGGAGCCTTCATTGGCGCTGAATCCACCACCATCGCGGTGGCTTGTCGACTTGTCTTTGGGCGCCCCTCCATGCACCGCACCGCCTCCACCGGAGGAGGCGGTGTGTGCAGCAGAGGATCGCGCCGATCGTATGCCACCCCTTGGTGACCAAAGATCTGGTCCGGCATGGAATGTCGGCCGCTTTGGTAGCCATGGTAAGCCGCCACACCTCCTTGCTTTGTGGAAGAGCGCCCCGATGAGCGCTTCTTTGGGCTAGCCGGCCGGCTGCCCCATGGCGGTGCTGCGTGTTGGCCGGCTATGACGGGATGGTTTGCAGGCTCGGTCACCGGGTGGAAACGCTGCCAGCCAAAACCCCAACCACGCCCGCGGCCAGCATACCTTCCTCCGTAAGGGCGACGTCCACGTCTAGCCGTAGTCGTTGTAGCCCCTGTACGGGGCATAACCTCCACGTCCGCCACGGCCACCTCCATATCCATAACCGCGAGCACGACCTCGCTGGTGACCACCGAAGCCACGACCACGTCCACCAAATCCCGGATTAAAACTCGGGTTGAAGCCCAGATTGTATCCCTCGCCACCTCTTCCCCCACCGCGCCCGTCAAACCCTCCTCCATTGCCTCCCCCTTGCAATGCCATTGGCTTGCCCACACGAACAACTTCGGCAAAGGAGCGCCGTAGTATTGTTTCACGAGATGGCGGGGGTACACGAGGACGGCGCCTGGTTCCAGTACGGGAAAACAGGTGATCGAACCGCGCTTCCGGGGGCGCATGGCGACGGATCCCACCTCGGCATTGGCGGCGGCGCTGCCGTCCTACGCGAAGGCGGTGGATGCGTACCGAAAGGCGGTGGCCATGGCGGTCACCGCGATCGCGTACGCTGGCGCGCGGCATGGCACGGGAGCTCCTCCCCCAAGACCTGCGCGCGGCGGCCAGCTGGGCCGTGTCCCTCCTCCGCGCCCGCCTCGAGCCCCGCCCCGCCGAGCGCCGCACCCTCGTCATCAAGCGCGACCCGAAGTCGCACCACCACCACCCCTGCGACGGCGACGCGGCGCTCTACATCGACGTGCTCCAGTACCTCGCCACCCGGATCGACCTTCGCTCCATGCGCCGTCTCTGCCTCAGCGGCGACGTCTCTGGCTCAAGGAAGGTCCTCTCGATGGAGCCCGGCGACTCCATGATCGACAACTTCGAGGGCGTCGCGTTCACGTGGGCGTCCGTCGTTGGTGAAGGCCGGCGCGGGGCAGTGGCGGAGTCGCTGGAGCTCAGCTTCGACGCCGAGCACACGGACATGGCGTTGGGCAGGTATGTCCCGTTCATCACGGCGTCGGCGGAGGAGGCCCGGCGCCAGGACCGCTCGCCCCTCATCTACATGAACGAGGGCTCATGGTGGAGCGGCATGAACTACCACCACCCGGCCACGTTCGACACGCTCGCCATGAACCCGGAGCTCAAGCAGTCCGTCATTGCCGACCTCGACCGGTTCCTGAAGCGGAGGGACTACTACCGGCGGATCGGCAAGGCGTGGAAGCGCGGGTACCTGCTCTATGGCCCGCCTGGCACAGGCAAGTCCAGTCTCGTCGCCGCCATGGCCAACTACCTCCACTTCAACCTCTACCACCTCGATCTATCCGAGGTGAGTGGCAATGCGATGCTGCAGCGGCTTCTGAACCGCATGAGCAACAGTCCGTCCACGTCATCGAGGACATCGACTGCTACTTCAGCGCCGCGTCGCGGGATGATGGCAAAGATCAGGCCGGCGACGACGTGGCGGATGATTCTGACGACGACGTGGGCAAGGTACGCTACACAGCAACAAGGCATGATTTTTATTCTTCACCGCAGTGTGCTCTGGCCTCTGAGTTACTGTAACACCCCAGACCTAGTATACAAGCCCACTCTACGGAGGTGTGGGCTCAACCTACGTAGCACTTTACTTGCGTTCGTTTTCGTCGTCGCTTCGTACAAAACAGTTAACCGAAGGTTACGCGTCCTTGCCTGGCTATTTAAGTCGGTTCGACCGTCGAAGGAGTCAGTTTTGCGATTAAAGCCTGGTGGCACAGTTTCTCGTGATGCTACAGTAACTCGTATGAACAGTGCTGAACAACAGTGCTGCACCCGCTGCAGTAACCCCGATTTTGGCCCCGCCCACCTCTGCACTACGGTGCCCGCAGCTACAGCTCGGACCACAGCTCACTGTAGCTACGGTGCCCGCAGTTACAGTGCCTCGGTCCGACTGGAATTCGGCGGGGATGTTACAGTTCTGACCCTGAACTGCTAACTTGGGAGCTCGATCGGCTGCGCAGAAGATAACTCCGTCCGGGCTTCTCAACTTCATCGACGGGCTGTGGTCGACCAGCGGCGAGGAGCGCATCATCATCTTCACCACCAACTACAAGGACCGCCTCGACCGGGCGCTGCTCCGGCCAGGACGCATGGACATGCACGTCTACATGGGCTACTGCGGCTGGGAGGCTTTCAAGACGCTCGCCCACAACTACTTCCTCATCGACGATCACCCACTGTTCCCGGAGATACAGGAGCTGCTCTCGGCTGTGGAGGTGACGCCGGCCGAGGTGTCCGAGATGCTGCTGCGGAGTGAGAACGCCGGCGCAGCGCTCTATATGGTGTCGCCAAGTTCCTTACAGAGAAGAAGCAAGCAATTGGCGCAGGGAATTAGCGCAGCCGCGCCTAGAAGAAGCCCTTTTTTGTGTTGCAAGCTATGATTTCTGCAACGCTGATGATCCATTCCTGATTTCTTTGCTCTACATTAGCTGCAAGCGCAACCTGCAAGTCTGCAACTGTTGTCCTGATTTTTCTCTAGCAATTGTATCTTAAAGAATAGGAACTGATCTCGGCTAATCAGTCTATGATGACCCCCTGCCCTGTGTTGTTTGTTTCGTCACTTCAAACTCCCTTATTTGTCACTTGCTACTCTGCTAATGCTGGTGTCTGTCAATATTTTGTATGCAGTCTCATTTTGGATTTTCTCGTGCTTGTGCCTAATGGACGTGGTAGTGCGGATGATGGATTTGTAACGTGCTTAGTAGTTAGTTCTGATTGTCGAGTGCCTGAAGAGGTGATCAAATGAACTTGATGCCTCTGATCGTTTTTTGTCTAGATCTGCTTGTTGACTAGGTTGTCTGAATTATATTGACTTAGTAGCAAAGCGTAGTTAGATGATTCTGGACTTGTCTTTTGCTTGCTGATCAGATCTATGAATGCTGTATTTCCCCACTTCTCCGATATTTCAGATGCTTGAATTTTAAGTTGATTTTAGGTAACACTCTTTACTACCACTGGTATAAGTAAATTGTTACTATTGCTATTTGCTATTTGTCTGTGTTATAACATATTAAATTTTTGTCCTTGTCTTCCTATAGAAATAATTATAAATTGTTAATTGTTTTTGTGCCAACACAAATCAGATTTTGTCGGATTTATAGTTTTGTCTAACGGTTTTTTTATTCTTGGTACTAAAAATTGCGGATTGCGTCTACAAAAATGGCACTGAACGAAATCTGCAATTTTAATATAAAATATGTGCAATAACCGTCGTCTGAAAGGAAACTAAAATTCAGGCACTTGAATTTTAGTAAATTCTGTATTTTCCTTATACTCAGGCCGTACATGGGGCAGTGCAAGTGGAAAAAAATTGGGTACGGATGGTCCTCGGCCGGCATGGTGCGAACATCCAATCAAATTCCGACGCGTGGACGAGTATCGGCTGACTCCGCTTCCCAGCGCGGTGGCTTGCGTCGAACTCGGCTCGTACTCCTCGCTGGCGTTTGGCTCGCAGTCGTAGGCAACATGTTCGTAATCGTTGGGATATCTGGACGTACCGACGTTCGGGCTGGGTTTGATTTGATCGTAGAGGGGGAAAGCGGCGCAATCACGGACGGACAGCGAGCTGCTGCATCTCGGCCACGGCACCACCGCACCATCGAACCGGGCGAGGCGGACGGAGACGGAACGGGCAGATGCTGCAGACTCGAGACATGACGAGGCCGCGCGCGTCGTCGACGAGAGCAGATTCGGCGAGCTGGATGGCGAGGAGCAGATGCTGGTGGGGGCGGATGACAGACGTAGCAGCAGCTACGGTGCATGGAGGCGGGTTTCTTGTGCCCTCCATGGATGCGGCGATGAGCTTAGCGCCGGAACGATCTTGGGGGCCGGCCGGCGGCGCCGTCAGGGGCTCTCACGGGGTGGCCCGTTCTTAGTTGCCACGGGAAAAGGGGCAGCCTTATCATGGGGGAGAGATGCACCAGACTCAATCTTTCTTTACCTCACTGATTGTTCATGGATATGCTTTTACTGAGATGCACTTTGGATTTGTCAATGCAATAATTATGCTGTATTTTATACTACCTATTGGAGAGAATGAGCTGCTGAGTGCACCATTGGTTGAATTTGAGCTGCTGGGTGATTTTGAGCTACTCGTGAGTTGTGACATGTATTGCAAGAGGTGATTTTGTGCATCGATCAGGTACTGCTCAGTCTGAACTTCACGTGCTCCATTATATCAGTTCGTGCTCCATCTATGGTGGATTGGTTGAACCTGTCCGGCTGTTACACTTGCTGTTCCAATGGGATTCTAATTCTCTATTATTCTTGTTAAGTGGAAGTGTTGAAGATGCTCCCTTATTGCCTGTATGCTTTGCATTTTTGCAAGATGGATGGCTAAAAGTTTGTTGCTGCATGAGAGAAAAGTTGTTGTAGTGACACACATCGACATGAAGGTTTGGTTCCACTACAACCTAGCCTCAATACTTTTGTTGAGCAAGCGTTGGGCACCTGCTGGGTTACTCAGGACCAGACTGGACTAGTTCACTACTTGCTGCATTGAGTTGCTGCCATGGCCACCTCCTGCAATACTTCATACTAACATTGCCAGTGAGCTTGTTGAAACGATATCAGTTGGCAGCAAACTGAATGTTCGTGATCATGTGACATTATTAGCTGCTTCTGATCATACAGAGTAGGGGTATGATGAGCTTCAGTTGGGTCAGCACAAAAATCATATGGCTGGACTGCAAAATGACTTCAATGCCTTTCTGTGGTAGGTCTCTGGCATCTGGCTTCGTGGAGTCTATCTATCCAACTCATACAAGAACATACTACATGATGGTTACAACAAGCATCAATCCAGTGGACTGGAAGATCAAGAAAGGGATGTCAGATACCCAGGTCTGGTGTCATGGCGGATTGCTCTTCAGCATTAAGGACTTGCAAGTGCCATGGGATCCGGTCGGTACCGAAATTTTCCAGCCGAAGTTTAAGAAGGGGGAATGTTAGGAACTACCCACGGTTGGGCCTTCATATGGGCCATGGGCTTGGGCCTAGTCGAGCAGCTTCCTGCTGGACCGCCGATCGTCATCTACAAGAAGAGCACAGGGGCAGTGAGGAGGCATCGAATCAATTATCAGACTATCTCCAACGACGGGAACCTAAATCAGAGACCCATCCAACGATTTACGTCGCCTACAGTAAAAGGGTAGCGAACCCATATCTTTCAGTCTCCAACGGCGACCGCAAAAGAAAAACGCGAGCGAGCAGGCGGCGGCGGGGGGCGGAGCGAGCGAGCGAGCGAGCGCGCCGGCTGGGTGAGCGGCGGGGGCTGGGTGGAGCTCGAGGGCGAACTAGATCTGGACGGGGAAGCAGCAGGCCTCGCCGCCGGTGCCTGGGCGGAGCTCAAGGCCATGGTCGCCGGGAGCAGCGGTGGCCTGGGCGAGCAGCAGCGCACCTGGGCTCCAGGGGGCGGCGCGCCTCGCGCGGATCTGGGCGAGCGGCGCGCATGGCGGAGGCGGCATACCTGGTCTTCGCGGGGGCGGCGCGCATGGCGGCGGCGGCGCTCCTGGGTGAGTGGCAGCGGCGGTTTTGCGTCGACGTTTTTGGGTGGCTCGGTTTTGGGTGCTCGGTTTCGCACGGCAGGGAGGGCAGAGAAGCGGCTTTGGGTGGCTCCCTCTCCCCTTCCGGTCAGCTGCCTCGACGTCTGCACAGATGGCCCCCGCGCGGAGCTTCCAGGGGCAGGCGCGCCTCGCCGTCGTCGTTCGCTACAGTTTTGCGTCGTGGAGAATGAGGACACGTTTTTGCCTACCGATTCATGTGGTACGCAAAATAGCTGGTGGGTTTGCGTCCTCCGTTGGAGAGTATTTCCGGGACGCAAATCACTATACGCAGCGCATTTTGCGTTTGGGTTGCTCTTTGCGTCCACCGTTGGAGACCGTCTCAAACAATACCTTTCCCTCTACTGCTGCTGTTCATCTTCCTCTCAATCTCTCTATACCCGGTTCCCTATCTCCAATCTCTCTGCTCTGACCTCCCTCTCCCTCGAGGTCCTGTACCCTGCTACTTGAATCGTCTGGGAACCAATTGATTGAGGTTGCTAACAGGAAGAGAGCGCTGACGGCTGACCAAAAGGCAGAGGCGATGGGGATGAACGCGATTAGGCTGAGCCATCAGCCGCGGGCGTCGCGTCGCCTCGAGACTCCAGCCGAGTTCGACGCAAGCCAGCGCGCTGGAAAGCAGAGTCAGCCGATACTCGTCCACGCGTCAGAATTTGATCGGACGTCCGCACCATGCCGATGTCACAAGGCCCCCAAAAAATTAGGGCCTCAAATTTTACTAAGTGCATATTCATTCTTAATTCCATTAATACAAATTAGGTACTGTAACTCTTAGTATATACCCCATGTATTGTTTTATGTCGTAAGAACAAAAGGCCTAATAAGATGCATGTGAAGAACGAAAGATTACTGGCATATATGATGTAATTCTTAGTAAGGTCAGAAAAGTAAAATATAAAGTCCTTGGTTTAACTCGGTGCGGTCTTTAAGGTTGACCAATTTCTCTCATAGTATATCATATATGGCAAAAGTTTTGACATTAGAATGTACTCCTAAATATAAATCCAATTAACCACTTTTGTTGTATAACTTTTCATACAATTAGGCTGATTATTGACCAAAGATAACAAAGTTCAAATCTCAAATAGTGTGCAGCTTATATTTTGAGATAAAAGGAGAAATGACCTCAAAACATATATTTTTTGCTCTTGCCACATCTTACATGTAGGGCCCTTTTTAAGTTTTGCACCAGGGCCTTAAATTCTTAGGTACGGCCCTGCTTATACTCCTCTGATAATGAAAACGGGGAAAGCCACGATTCGGGGAAAGAACTTGGCACCTTGACGTGATGCTTTGTTTCAGTGTTCGTTGTGGAGGTACAAAATCTGAAATTTCAGTGACACTTGGATCTTATTTTTTGTCCTATATTTGTATATTTTCCCTTGTAGCTGATGTCTTGAAGATGGCCATGATATATGAATCCCAATTAGGTCTGGTTGGTTTCATCCCGAAGCCGGGGGATTGAAGGGAATTTAATCTCCTACCAGTCAAAATTTCTCTCAATGCCCTCTAAAGTCTTGTTTGGATGCATATATATCCATCTCAATTCATATATGTTCAACACATGTGAATTGAGATAAATACATGTACATCCAAACAAGACATAAGAGAATGAGTGGATCCCTGTCTGTCACTTCAATCCCTGTTGGGGATAATTCCTCTCTTGCCTTAATCCCCTATGCTGTTCGGTTAGACAGTTCGTCGTGCCGCCGCCGCTGCTTGGCGTGCGCTCCGCACGATGCCCCTTCGCTCACGCTCGGACGGGATAATTTCCACCCCAGCAGAGGCCGGGCGTCCTTCCCAGGCCGAGGTGACGGGAAAAGGCCAGGGTATGCCGGGCTTCAACCCACGCCGGGCTTAAACGAACGCTCATTTTTGCGTGGGCCGGGATCCTTTCCAGGCCGGGGTGATCCACGGGGGATGGGCCTTGACCCCGGCCGGATTGGGCCTAACCGAACAAGGCCAATCCTCTCCAACCCCCTTGGTTCAGAAAATAAACGAACAAGACCTCAGTTGGCCTGACGCAATTTGATCCGCTTTTTGTAAATGGCTGGTGTGCTAGGATGATCCAACGTGCAGGGTAGTCTTGTTTTCTGAAACAAAGTGTATGTCTGATAGCAATCAGATGCAGCTTCGAACAGGTTTGTCTTATGATGATTTAAAGATTTTTCGAGCGATAGGTATTTATGGACCTATGGTAAAAGAAAAGATGCCAGCATTAATGTTTGTGCTAAGACAGATATGTTCCCCAGCCCCACATATGTCTTCGGACTACGACGAAACAATAAGTTCATGCAAGCTATCAAACGGTGACACAGAAGCACTAACACATGCTAGAGCAGTGGCGGACTTAAGGAATTGAAAATTGGGTGCACAGGCTCACCATGACATATGTAAAGCTAGATGTCCATCAATTCAAAGCAAACAATACTAGAGCAGAGTACATTTTACTTGCTAAATCTTTCATCACAACGCATATCAGCAATAAAGTTAGACGCCTTAAGTCGGTGATTGAGAAGTCCTTGGGATAAAACTTTGCAAGTTTTACTAAGTTGTCCTTGTCAAAAGAAGCAAATCAATCTTTGGGATTGATGCCCTGTCTGCTTGGCTGATAAACCATACTTTTTCAGTCAACGAACAATATTTTTCTTTCATAACAAATCAGCCAACAATACTTTCAGCCATGGATTATCAGTCAAGCAAACAGGGCATGAATTTTTCGGTTGATTGGAAAAGGTGAGTTGAAGCAGGCGGGGGGCGAGCGCTGGAGCCTGGAGGCGCTGTCACGGACGGGCAGAGGGCATCGCTCTTTTTTCTGTTTTAGGGGAAAAGGGCAACGCTCCTAACAGGTCGGCCCAGCTGGATGGTGGACGGTGAAAGGTCCTAATATGGTTAGAGATTGGGGTGAATAGCCTATTTAAAAATCTACAAACCAACTAGAGCAATTTGATTAGTTTGACAAATAGCGAAAAACAAATTTGCTCTATCTCTACAAGGGTTACAAGCTACCTATCCAACAATTCTAGTTGTTATGATCACTAGGCACACAATCTACTAGGTCATTACTCACTAAGAGCTCTCACAATTGCTACACTAAAAAACTCAACTAGATGAACTTAATCCACAAAGCAAGCTCTCAATTCTAGCTACACTAAAGAGCTTGTTATAACTAGTTTGCGGGAATATAAATGAGTAAGTAAGGTGATTATACCGTCATGTAGAGGAGTGAACCAATCATAAGATGAATACTTAATCAATCACCGGGAGAATACCAAAGGGCAAGAGACAACCACTTTTCTCCCGAGGTTCACGTGCTTGTCAACACACTATGTCTCCGTTATGTCGACCAACACTTGGTGGTTCGACGGCTAAGAGGTGTTGCACGAACCTCGTTCACACAATTGGACACCGCAAGAACCTACTCACAAGTGAGGTAACTCAATGACACGAGCGATCCACTAGAGTTACTTTTCGACGCTCCGCCGGGGAAGGTATAAATCCCCTCACAATCACCGGAGATGGCCACGAACAATCACCAACTCGTACCAATCCTCCTCCGCTGCACCAAGCCGTCTAGGTGGTGGCAACCACCAAGAGCAACAAGCGAATCCCGCAGCGAAACACGAACACCAAGTGCCTCTAGATGCAAACACTCAAGCAATGCACTTAGATTCTCTTTCAATCTCACAAAGATGATGAATGAATGATAGAAATAAGTGGGAGGGCTTTGGCGAAGCTCACAAGGTTGTTATGTCAATGTAAATGGCCAAGAGAGTGAGCTTGAGCCGGCCATGGGGCTTAAATAGAAGCCCCCACGAAATAGAGCCGTTGGCTCCTTAGTCCACTGAAAGACGGGGCGACCGGACGCGCTGGTCGGATCGACCGGACGCAGGACCCCAGCGTCCAGTCGCGCGATGCACGCCACGTGGCCCCTGCTTCAAACGCTGATCGCCCGATCTCAACGGTCATCAATAAATTTAAGTCATGACTGGACGCACTGCTCAAAGTGACCGGACGTAGGACCCCAGCGTCCGGTCATTTCCAGTAAGGTTCTATTCGCGAAAATTCACGACAGGACACGTCCGGTCATGCCCGACCGGACTCACCCAGCGTCCAGTCACTCAACGTCTCCTCTGTGTGCCACCACGTCAGCATTCATCAGCACTGACCGGACTCAGACCCTGAGCGTCCGATCACTTTTCGCGTCAGCGTTCGGTCACAAGACCAAGACCGCGCACTCACTGCTGTCACTGACCGGACGCAGGACCCAGCGTCCGGTCACTGCGTGACCAGCGTCCGGTGTACTCTGTAAAACCCTGTCTTTTCTGTATAGACCACCGGTGAAGTTTCTAACCCTTACTCAAATGTGCCAACAGCAGTGTATCACCTTGTGCACATGTATTAGCATATTTTCACAAATATTTTAAGGGTGTTAGCACTCCACTAGATCCTAAATGCATATGCAATGGGTTAGAGCATCTAGTGGCACTTTGATAACCATATTTTGATACGAGTTTCACCTCTCTTAATAGTACAACTATCGATTCTAAATATGATCACACTCGTTAAGTGTCTTGATCACCGAAACAAAATGACTCATACTACTTATACTTTTGCCTTGAGCCTTTTGTTTTTCTCTTTCTTCTTTTCAAGTCCAAACACTTGATCATCACCATGGCATCACCGTCATCATGTCATGATCTTCATTTGCTTCACCCCTTGGAATAGTGCTAACTATCTCATAATCACTTTGATAAACTAGGTTAGCACTTAGGGTTTTATCAATTAACCAAAACCAAACTAGAGCTTTCAATCTTTATCTTTTTGGTAATTGATGACAACCCTTACACAAAGATATGAATTGAGATTTAATTGAATCCACGTTGCTTGCCAAGCATATTTACTATGTGTAAAAGGATATGGACAAGTTTCATAAAAGAGTTTGATCTACTTATTTTGTGTATAATACATGTATATGCATAGTACCTGTAATTTTTTTCTCAAAATTATTGGGTGTACATCTCTACACCCATGTCCACATACTGCGTCCGCCCATGTGCTAGAGGTGTCGAACTTCAGGCCACAAAATCGATTAGCCCACATATGTCTTCGGACTACGACGGAAAAATAAGTTCATGCAAGCTATCATACGTTGACAAAGAAGCACTAACACATGCTAGAGGAGTCGAACTTCATGCCACAAAATTGATTTAGGCCTTGTTTGTTAAGTTTTTTTTTTCTCTGGCTCCTCAGAGTAGCTGGAGTCGATGGAGGCGAAAAAAATACTAAAAGTGACTCTTATTCATCTGTGGAAGAGAGAGAAAAGAGCCTTCTTACTATAATGCAAGGCCTATTTGACACGACTCTAGTTTCTGTGGAGTCGTCCTACAAACACTTTGGCATAAGAAGTCGTTTTCTTATAAACAAATAAATACTTAAAATTTATCTTGGGCCACATACATTGGAGACGACACGGATTAGCGGCGGCGTACCGCTGTACCTGTAGGGGAGAGGGGCACTCATGTCACAGAGGTTACGGCGCCAGGGCTAGGTGAGGCGGCGGCGGAAAGTGAGGTAGCAAGCTAGGGTGCCGACGAAGCTGGTGACGGCTTCGGGAGCGAGGCTGCGATGTGAGATTGAAGATAAGCTGAGCCCTTATAAAACGAATGGCTGGATCTGAGCCATTGATTGATGTTTCAACGTTTGGTAGAGATTTGGTTGTTTAGGACTCGAAACATTGGCCTTTCGCGGATTTGCCGTTCGACCCACATTCATAGACATAGGTGGACCCATTTATAATTCAACCGAGTGGCAACGCAATCAAGAGTCCCAAAATATCCAATTTTTTCAAAAAAATATCAACAGATTTTTTTGCAATTAAATCTGTCAATAGATGACTAGCAAGACCCATAATTAATTATATAAATCCTGAAGAAAAAACCCTGGCGCTCCAAACCCTCCTCTGATCTCGAGCAGGGGATGGCGTCGGATCGCTCCTCGTCGGCGGTGGCGTTCCTTCCTACGCTGAGGCGGTGGAAGCGTACCGAAAGGCGGTGGCCACGGCAGCCACAGCGACCGCGTACACCGTGCTGGCGCGCGGTATGGCGCGGGAGCTCCTCCCCCACGACCTGCGCGCCACGGCGAGTTGGGCCGCGTCGCTCCTCCGCGCACGCCTCGAGCCAACCCCACGACCTGCGCGCCACGGCGAGTTGGGCCGCGTCGCTCCTCCGCGCACGCCTCGAGCCGCCAGTTCCTCGCCACGCGGATCGACCCGCACTCCATGCGCCGCCTCTGCCTCAGCGGCGGCGTCCGGGGCTCCAGCAAGGTCCTCTCGATGGAGCATGGCGACTCCATGGTCGACATGTTCGAGGGCGTCGCGTTCACGTGGGCGTCCGTCGCGGGGGAAGGCCGGTCCGGGGCGGCGGCGGCGGAGTCGCTGGAACTAAGCTTCGACGCCGAGCACACGGACATGGCGCTGGAGCGGTACGTCCCGTTCATCACGGAGACGGTGGAGGAGGCGCGGCGCCAGGACCGCTCGCTCCTCATCTACACGAACGAGGGCCCGGGGTGGAGTGGAATGACCCACAACCACCCGGCCACGCTCGACACGCTCGCCATGAACCCGGAGCTCAAGCAGTCCGTCATCGCCGACCTCGACAGGTTCCTGAAGCGGAGGGACTACTACCGGCGGATCGGCAAGGCGTGGAAGCGCGGGTACCTGCTCTACGGCCGGCCGGGCACAGGCAAGTCCAGCCTCGTCGCCGCCATGGCCAACTACCTCCGATTCGACATCTACGATCTCGACCTGTCCGAGGTGCGCGGCAACACGCTCCTGCAGCGTCTTCTCAGCATAATGAGCAACAAGTCCATCCTCGTCATCTAGGACATCGACTGCTGCTTCAGCGCCGCGTCGCGGGAAGACGGCAAAAAAGATCAGGCCGGCGACGACGTCGAGTCGGACTATTCTGACTACGATGCACCAGATCCCTGGGACATGGTACGCGACGCTGCAGCATCATGAGATTATTTTTATTCTTTACCGCGGTGTGCCCTGAGTTTTCTGACCCTGCTAGCTAACATGGGCACTCGATCGGCTGTGCAGCCGCAGCAGCAGCATAAGATAACTCTGTCCGGCCTGCCCAACTTCATCGACGGGCTGTGGTCGACCAGCGGCGAGGAGCGCATCATCATCTTCACCACCAACTACAAGGACCGCCTCGACTGGGCGCTGCTCCGGCCAGGACGCATGGACATGCACGTCTACATGGGCTACTGCGGCTGGGAGGCTTTCAAGACGCTCGCCCACAACTACTTCCTCATCGACGATCACCCTCTGTTCCCGGATATACAGGAGCTGCTCTCGGCTGTGGAGGTGACGCCGGCCGAGGTGTCCGAGATGCTGCTGCGGAGCGAGGACGCTGGCGCGGCGTTCGAGGGCCTGGCCAAGTTCCTCGGAGAGAAGAAGCAAGCAATTGGCGAGCGGAAACCAGCTACCTAGCGAGGAAAAGAAGCCATTTTTGTGTTGCAGTGCAAGCTATGATTTCTGCAACGCTGATTGATCCAGTCCTGATTTCTTTGTCGCGCATTAGCTGCAAACCTGCAACTCCTGAGTACTAAGAACTGATTTGCACCATCAAACTCAATGATGTGTCACTTGTGACTCTGCTAGTGCTGGTGTGTGTCTACATTTTGTCTGGTGCTAGTGCCTCATGGACGTGGTGGCTGAGCTTGCTGCTGCCGTGCTTGAGGCTGCAGGTTCAAAGCTCCAGTTAAGTAGTTAACCAGGACCAACAGCAGAGAGGAACCATCTCCCCCTGTTTCATTCACTGAATAAAACAACCACAGGTTTCAGATTGCCCTCGCTTACAGTTTCTCACTCTCTAAAGAGGCAGCACTGAGTTATCAGTAGCATTATAACAGTACAAAAAACCCAGTGCGTCTAATCCTCCCCTTGTCACTTCAATCTCAGATGGACATCTTCCATCGGCGCTTGTATTCTCCTCTGAAGAGCTCGCTTATCTTGAGCCCAGTGTTCAAATTGCTTGTACACTTCTTGGTTGATTTTGCTTCCTGCCAATACTAGTTGATTCACACTATCCTCCTTGTTGCACAAGATCTTGTCTTTTACCATCCTTGCTGTATTCGTCAAAAGCATGTTCACATCTCACCAGCATGTTCCCCAAAGCACAATTTGTTTCTTAGTTTCCAAATCACCCATATAACAGCTGCTGACAGCACATTAATTGCAGCCATCTTTTTATTACAAATCCACCATTTGGTTATAGAGGCAAAGTCTGAACCCAAGCTTGATCAAATATGTCGGCGATCACGTTCCAAGTTATTTATGCCACACAACACTCAGATAGCAAATGGTGCACACTTTCAGGTTCAGAACAGAATAAACAACTCATATCATCGACTTTCCTTCTAATAGTAGAGTACATATATCTAAGAAAGGCAACGATTTACAATTTGGAACGGTGGGAGTACCAGTTTTCCATCTGTTGAAGATGTCTATAAAATCTGGACCCGACTCAATTGTTGCTATAAAAGGATGATTCAACGCGCAGGGTTGTCTTGTTTTCTGAAACCGATTATGTCTGATCATGATCTCTTTTTTTCTACGTTATTACTGGTATATATCTAGCTTGGATTCTCACTTTTCCAACAGCTACTGCTTCGTACAAAGACTTGTTCTCTAATTTTGGTACTTCTTTTCTGGAGGTGTTTAAATTTTTTTGAGTGGTTGGTACTTATGGACAACGTTGATGGACAATAAAACAAGAAGTTTGTGTGGCACTTAAGGTTTGTTTGGTTGATGAAATCTTGGCCTGGGATGCTCTGGCCAGGCAGGTCCATCCGATCCTGGCCCCCTCAGATGGATATCTAGGCCAGACAACTTTGCCCATTTTTTGACAAACACGTCCTTAGTGTTTTTTATAGTCCTCCCTCACCGGTCACCCCGGCTACCAATTCCTGGCATGGAAAGAAAGCCCAGTGGCCCAACCCTGGAATTCTATTGTTAGAAGAAAATATGTCCAAGTTTTCACTTCCAAATTCTCAATCTTTTCAACTGGAGACCTTTTGGTTTTGGACCTCAATTGGAAATATTTAGAGATACGCAGCTGAACCTGAAATCTTATTTGGATTTTCCCATTGAACTTGAACTCCAGTCTGATTACTACTGGCCCGGCGCCCATCGCCTGCTACGGACAAGAGCACACGCGGACCGATCCCAGCAGGCCGGAGAGTTGGAGACTGGCCGGAGCGATCGCGAGAGCGATTCCGTTCAGGCTGTGGCGGCTACTGGATGTCTCAGCAGCAGCAAGCAGAAGCAGCAGCGCCAGGCCGCCCGTCAGCAAAGCGCAGGTCTTGGCAGTGAGTGTTGCTCGCTGCTGGCAAACCAATGGGCAATGGCAGCACACAAGCTCAACTGCATGGTCTCCGGCCGTCGCGTGCTTTCCTACGCGTTCTGTTGCTCCGTGCCTCCTGCCTCTGTCACCGTGTGTTGGAACTCGGAGCACGGACGTGGGACGCATTGCAATTTGCAACGGCTGACCTGCGACTGCGAGAGAGGATTTTGAAGCTTTTCCTCTATGCTGCCGCTGGCACGCAGGATCCTTTTCCGTGAGCACGAGCGCGGGTCGTCGTGGTCGTGGAACTGTGGAACGAAGGTCACCGAGACAGCTTCACCCTGTGTCCCTGTCACACGGACAAGAGGTGGCGTGTCTCAGCCTCTTAGGAAGAGCTTGGGGGTAAATGGTCATGGCTCAGGGCTGTGAAATATGAACACTGTTAGATGATCTCCATCAATTGGCCCAACGGTCAATTGGGCCTTTGGATTCGCTCCCTGATCGGGGCGTCTAACCGTTTCATGGTTGGTGGACCCCCGTCGCACAGATATCATAAAAAAGGGAGGTGAGGGCCGGAGCACAAGGCACGAGGTTTATCTAAGAGGGGGGTGCTGCCAACGACGGAAATACCGCCACCGGCCACCGCCGCCTCTGCACCGTCGCCACCGCGACATCGCTTTCACCGCTGGGCTTCACCGCGCCACCGACGAGCAACCTCATGGCCAGCTCGTCTTCTACGAAGGCGGCCGATGGTTTGCACCTCCGCAACCTCTCACCCTCTCCCTCTTTCTCTCTGTTTCTCGTTTTAGTTTATGTTCTAGGGTTTTACACTTCATCAAATGTCAGTAGGTATGCTAGATCTATGGCTAGTGATCCTGTAATGTTCTATCAATGGTATCAGTCGTCTAACTAGACGTAGATCTAGCTTATCAGGGTAGAAAACCGAGTAACAGCAATTAGAATAAGGTGAGAGATCCGATTCGGATATAAGCAAAGGGTTCACCGAACCCTAAACCTAAATCGGGTGAAGAAAAGGAGTAAGAAAGGGTCTCGGTTTTGAAAAGGAACTCGAACCCTAACCCTAACCTACGTAGACAGCTCGGGGGAAGAAGAACAGTACTCTAACCCTAACCCTAGAGTAAGGACAAAGGAGGGGAGAACCTACCCGGACTCTCCGCCGCGCGTCACCATCGCCGTCGCGCGGGTAGAATCCCGCCGTCATGAGGGAAGGAACTCCGCCGCCGCCTCGTCGGCGCGCGGGGAGAAGTCGAGCCGTGCTCGCCGCCGTCCGCGCGAGCCCCACCGAGGGCACCGTCACAGGACCGCTCGACGGCGCCGCGCTCACCCACTGGGAGCGCGCGTTCCGGCGAGAGGACCCGCGGCGGCACCAGTAAGATCTAGGGTTTAGGGGGAATCTCACCGCAGCGCGTGTGGGGGATTAGGGCACCGTTGCCCAGATCGCACGACGGCGGCGCACTCAGCCCAGGGCGAGTGCGCGCGCCGGCGAGGGGACCGGCGGCGGCGACGCTCCACTGCTCACTCTTTTTTCCTCTCCGTGCGTGGCGCTGAGAGAGAGAAGGCGAGCGAACGAATGAATTAGGGTTAGGGCGTCCGCGCTGCGTCGACCGCTTTTGTATCCGCCGAGAACGATGGACAACCGTCCGATCGCGATGAACGACTGAGAAGCATCGGACCGGATTTGACCCAAGCGGGATCGCGAATTCTCGGCCCAGGCCCAGGTTGCGGCCTGGGCGCGGGGGAGCGGGTGCGCGCGCGCTGTGTTGGGCCGAAGATGGGCTGCGAGCGCAGGCGCGCGGGCGGTATTTCACCGCTGGGCCGAGCACTGTTTCAACGGGCTGGGCCAAATAAATAGTAGAAACTTAGTTATTGTTTTACTCATTTTCAGAAGCAAATTTTGATGATTTTGTCCAGCTTCAATCTCTGTTAAAATTTGAACCAACGGGATAATTTTTTCAGAGAATAGATTAGTACAGCTAAATGCTTCTGAAAAGTAGATAAATATTTTTTTCATGTCTCCGCTGCAATGTTAAAGTTTATTATCTTCTAATTAAATTCGAACCAACGGGAGAATTTAATTTGAAGAGCAGTCATTTTTATTCAGTAAATTATAATATTGTTATTTTTCTGACCAACGTTGATAATAGCAATATTATAATGTTTATTCATAAGTTTTCCATGCATTGATTCTATTTCTACCCAATGGCTTTTATCTCGCACATACCGCCTCTTGAAGGGGGAAACTACAGGGTATGACAAGAGAAGTATGAACTAGCACTTGCGCTGTCTGAAAATGACCTAGCGCTTACCTCTCCATGTCAAACTGAGCCAGTGGACTCGGTGAGGGAAGATAATGAGACTGATGCTGATTTCACTGCTCGACGGCGAGATCATGCAGAAGTGCGGATGAAATATGATCTCGAACGTAAAAAATAGGACATTTCAAACCGCAAGTGCTTGATGCTGGCTAAGTCCATAATTTCAGATGCGAGAAGAGGGTCTATTCCATATTGTGATACAACCATAGAGTATCTTAAGAAAGTGGAGAGTCAGTTCACTGGCTCTTCAAAGACTTATGCCAGTACTTTGATCAAAAAATTGTTCAATGAGAAATATACTGGTGGCGGTATCAAAGAGCACATACTGAAGATGATCAACACGGCTTCGAAGCTGAAGCCAATGAATTTGGGGCTCAAGGATGAGTTCTTGATTCATTTGTTTTTTGCTTCCTTGCCAAAGGAATATGAAACTTTTGTTATTAATTACAACATGTAGCCCGATAAGTGGGATATAGAGAAGCTCATCGCAATGTGTGTTTAAGAAGAGGAGAGGCTGAAATCCTTACAGGGTGACTCTGCTAACCTTGTGAAGGATAACAAGAAGAAAAACTTCAATAAGAATGTCAAACCTCAAGGGAAAGCCTCTCAGGATGACCACCATCCGAAGAACAACAATGCTTAAGTTGAGAAGAATCAGTGTAAATGGTGCAAGAAGCATGGACACCACCAGAGGGACTGTCCAAACTTCTTGAAGAGCCTTCTGAAGAGAGGTGAGGATTTCATTACATTCATAGATGAATCCTTATATTTAAGTTATACAAAATCTACTTGGTGGATTGATTCAGGTG